CGAGGTGGCGGGGACAATGCTGCCGGACCTCGCTGTGGTGGTGTATTACTTCGATGCTTGTGCGAGGGATTGGATGGAGGCGTTCTGGGGCGTGAGGTGTTGGATAATGATCTAGACTCTAGGTTAGTTGGTATTCTTCAACACGACGACATTGTGAAACGTGCAGGTTATCAAACTTCAGTATGTCGGCATGAGAGTATCCAGCTCCCACAACAAGTCCGGGTCCCGAATCGCTACTTTGCTTTTTAGGCGATGCATCACGGCGACCACTTGCTGTTCGGGCACGCCAAAAAGGAGATGATGATCTGTTCATGTCAGTCCCTGGGATTCATATCTCAAAACTGCAACCCAAAGCTTCTGCCAAGCGGGGCGCAAAGAGATCTCGATTGGAAACGTACTCAGCACGCTCTATAATGCGAGGTCAGTTATCAGTTAGACATAGAGAACGCATCGCGCATAGTATAACATGCAAAAATCTGCGCATTCTTCAAGACAGAGGGTACGGGGGGGTGTAAACTGACCAACCTGAACCATCTCCTACAATAGTGGCTCGAGTCAGCTGGATAATACAGGTAACTTGGACAATGGCATTGCATACCTGTTGGACTGGTTTTTTGCTACCATTGGAAGAAGAGAACATCTTCACAACGCCTCATAGACTGGATAACCTAGTTGCAATACTTTATTTCTCATTCCTTTCGTAGTCTTTCTATATTTCGAAGTTCATTACTGTTCCTTTTGTTTGAATGTGGTATGGTACGGGTACATTGCGCAGGCTCAGGCGGGGAAAGCCCCGCTAGCTCAAAATTGGTACACTAAAATCATACTAAGGCGGAACGGACCAGGGCGCGCCATGCTATCGATTCAAATGTTATTATTTGGTTTAAAGCCTTTCCTCCTTAGCAGCAGGCTTTCAATTTAGATATTGATCCTCTTGAATTGGAATATCTATATCAATCTTTTTCTCTCCTTTTACATCACTTCCAATTTCCTCTACATTCCGTTCCATTCTCAACCTCAATAACTCTCCCAACACACTTCTTGACTCTTCTAAATACTTCTAGTAACTCGCGATCAAGACTGCAGCCCTTTCGCAAAGCTTCTTCATCGAGAAGCACACGAAACGGCAGTCGCGCATCAGTCTACAAATTTAGCTCGAATTGAATTAGATCAACTTATCTCACAGGAAACAGACAGATTCATCATGGCCGAAGCCGAGAATTTCGAGGAAGATCTCTTCGCTGACTTGTATGTACTATCCACCTAACACCTACTTTCCAAAATCTCTTTGGTCGCACCTCTATCAACACGTCGCAAAACATTCAGCTGATACATTGCATTAAGGTACACCGAAGATGATAACGCCGCAAATCCATCAGAGACAGTGGCTGAACCCACTGCCCAACCATCAGCCCCAACTACAGAAATCAAAGCTGAAATACAAGCCGAACAAGATATTGAACAAAATCCACAAAATGGAGATGGAGATGAAGATCAACAAATGTACAATGGTGAACAAGATGTGGATGAGGACATAGATTTCAATCTGGGAAGCGGGAATGGCAATGGGGGTGGTTATGATGCTTCTTCGAACAGAGATGAAGCACAAGGCCCAGGTATCAAGGAAGACGGGTAAGATTACAGATTTTTTACTTTGCACTTTATCATTGCTATTCTACACCTTTGCAATATGACTGTAGTCATGGAGCTCCGGGCTCAACTCACATCAAGCATGGTATATGGAGATCATGGATATGATGGGTTGGGATTGATGCAGAGATCAGGATATGAGCTAGCAGCATATCTGGACTTGGAGGTGTAATCAGGAATGGAATCAAACGAGATGGGGACGGGTAAACTTGGATGGGAGCTTTCGGGGGGGTATGTGGCTATGTGAAGGGGTCTTGGGAGCTTGATCCAATATTATATCCTGCTTCGGCATTGGGTATATACTTTGGACTTGATTCAAGGCTAAGGGAGCATGGAGAGGGAATGGCGTTGGAATAAACTCAGAGTCATTTGATTTGAGATAATTGGGTATACACACCACATGCATTCGCCATCCACAACGGCAATAGTCAAACCTGCTACTACTACTACTACTACATAGCCTATTGTCGATATAATCTTCATAGAGCCACAGACACAGATAGGCCATAGCCCATAGCTTCGACGCCAGTACCTAGCATCACGATAGCAAAAAAACGCGATTTTTTTTTGGATATCTTATGGTGCCATCTGTTCTATCGTTATTGCATGATTTGCAGGCAATGTTAGACGGTTATTGCTTGGGTGTGTACCTGGCCTTAACATCATGCTGGATATGTCGAAAGCCTCATCAAATGCCAGATGTGGTCCCTTAAACCCCAACCCACCCTTGCTCCTTCGCCTGCAGCCCAGATACAAATTATTTCTCCAGTCAACAATCGAGAAAGGATATCATCTCGTCCCTGAGATGTGAAACAGCCCAGGAGAAAGCACTGTTGCACTGATTGTCTTGAAGATAACTAATACGGAACGACTTCTTCGCCTGTTCTCATTGTCGCCATATGAATTGATAAGTATAGCCAGAATGCTAACTTTTCCTGCTTAGTAAAATGTTCATTGGTGGATTGAATTGGGAAACGACAGATGGTGAGATGGCCAGATTTCAATGTTACGCTAAACCCCTGTATGACCACTAACTTTAGATTATAGAATCATTGAAGGATTACTTCTCACAATTTGGTGAAGTGCTTGAATGTACTGTTATGAGAGATGGTGCCTCTGGTCGATCTCGAGGATTTGGGTTTCTGACATTCAAAGATGCCCGGACTGTCAATATTGTCATGGTTAAAGAACATTACCTTGACGGCAAAATAGTAAGACCCGATCTCAAAACTTTTAACAATTCTTTACGCTCTTATCCTTCCAAACTTCTCCCACTGGCTTCAAAAGGCACTCACTCACATTCAACTTTCAAGATTGATCCCAAACGCGCTATTCCCAGAGATGAGCAAGAACGTACAAGCAAGATTTTCGTTGGTGGTGTCAGTCAAGATGCTTCCGAACAAGATTTCAAAGAGTATTTTACACAATTCGGACGAGTTGTAGATGCTACTCTCATGATGGACAAAGACACTGGTAGACCACGAGGATTTGGATTCGTCACTTTCGATAGTGAAGCCGCTGTGGAAGCATGCTTGGAGGGTCCACTCGAAATTCACGGAAAGCCAATCGAGGTCAAGAAAGCTCAGCCTCGAGGCAACATACGAGAAGAGGAAGAAACCAGAGGGCCACGAGGCAGTCGATTCAAGAAAGGAGGAAACGCCAATGACGAATTTCAGAATTCTAATCAACAGCAACAAGGTGGCCAGATGAATGTCCCAGGTGGTATGACTCCTCAATTAATGGCTCAATATTGGCAGCGAATGCAACAGTATTTTGCACTAATGCAACAACAAATGGCCATGGGCGGAGGGCGAGGACAAATGTCAGGCGGAATGCCCGGTGGTATGAATCCTGCCATGATGGCCCAAATGGCTCAGATGCAGCAAATGCAACAAATGCAGCAACAAATGCAAGGTGGAGGAGGTGCTGGCGCGCGTAGTCAAAGTCCTCAAAGTCCAACGGCTGGAATGGCGGCAATGGCTAGTATGAATCCAGCCATGATGCAGCAAATGCAGCAAATGCAACAAATGCAGATGCAACAGGCCATGGGTGGACAAGGAGGAGGTAACTTTCCGGCAGGGGGTGGTAGTAATCCTGGTGGTCGAATGGGTACACCTGGCTACAATGCTTATGAGCAAGGTCTTTTCGAGCAACAAAAGTACGAACAACAACAAATGAGACGTGCTCAACGCGAACAATCTCAATATGGAGGTGGCGGTAGTGGGGGTGGATATGGAATGGGTGGAGGTGGTGGTGGACCAACTTCTTGGGAGGGTATGTATGACGATGTTCCTCAACCAGGTGGTGGTGGAGGAGGCGCTGGACGTGGTGGATTTGGTGGTGGAAGAGGTCGTGGAGGTGGAGGTGGAGGAAGTGATAGAGGATCTGCTCCTCCTGCCGCCGCACCGAATGCTCCTGCCGGTGCTCCGACAGGTCCAAAGAACGCTGGAAAGCCTGGTGCGAATTACAGGGGTGGTGGAAGGGGTGGAAATAGAGGCTTTCATCCTTATGCTAGGGGATGATTGTGACGCTCAATTTCCTTGAGTTTTCTGGCCAAGGAGCGTCTCTACCAAGAAAGTCACTTGATACAATATTCTAGTGGTCATCTAGCCATCGATGATCTCATACTCCTCGGCACAGTCACATCGTCTCACATACATTCAAAAATCGCATCTTTGCTTAGCTTTCGTATCACTTTCGACGACTGCTTCCTCATTTACTTCTTTTCTTGTTATATTCTGACCTTTCAACCGGGGCCGCGGTGTTAAGGCTGAACAATTTATGAGGAGCTTCAAATTCTGATAATTTTTCCACTGCAAAATCGCCGGCATGGAAAAGATTGAGATGGGGCCAGTAATCCAATATCAAACTTCCGTTGTTGTATAAAAAATCCAGAACATAACAAATGACTGGGAATGAAAATAAGAATAGTCGCCATATGATTGTTGATTCATTCTTGCATGTGAGACTCTTAATTTTAATTTAATCAACAGTAACTCCTCATTATTGTCTTCGACTTTGTTAAACTGTTATTCGTCTGCTCTGTTTAACCTATTTCCCTATCTTGAAAGGCTACCTAAGTAGGCAGGCTTACTGTTGGCATTCTCCTCCACGTTTGGGTTGATTTCTTAATTCAATTATAGAGCTATTTTTCTCATGCAAAGTTGCAGAATTCACTATTGTGTAAATACTCAATTTTGTTCAAAAAACTGGAGAATAATGAAAAAGTGTGGTGTTAGGTCTAGTTCTTACATGCTGAGTCAGAATTGAACTCTTCCTGCTACGCCTACATAAACCCTAAAATCGCTTTCATCAATAACACAAGTAATTCCATTAAAATTACCAACACAATGTCTCTATCTCCAAGACCAGAGATCAAATCGGCGTTGTTCCCTCACTTTAACGATTTTCCCCCGGACATCCGCCAAATCGTATGGGAATACTGTATTCCCCCACCAAGGGTGGTTGTTTTAACTCACGAACCTATCAAGACACTTGTAAATTCTGTGGACGACATTTGGGCGTTCAGGTCACAAACTCCAGTTGCTGACATCTTGTTTGTCAATCGAGAATCTTATAATATCGCAACAAGATTTTATGAGCGCACCTTTATGAATGGGTATCGCGAAGGCACTCATACTCTTCCCGAAACTTGGTTTGACTTGAAAAGGGATATTCTATACCTGCCTCAGCAACATATAGCCGCTGAGCTCAGCGATTCTCTCTCTTCCCTTCCAAGGTCAGCTCATGGCAACCAAGATACAGGAGGCTTCAATCGAGTGGAGAACCTTGCATTACCAATCAGGTGGTTGCCTAATTTTGCCCGGAATTCGGACAACAGCATGTGTAGACCCTTGACTAGATTACTAGGCACATTCGGTGGTGTAAAAAAAGTCTATTTTATAGCTGGTCAAGATCCCCCTCACCCTTGCACAGAGAGCGACGTTGTTTTTCAGGATGGGTGGTATCTTCCTTACAGGTGTATTGAGATGTTTGAGTTGTCAAAAGCGCGGGATACACCCCTTCTAGCTCCAGAACCATTTCCACCTTACTCTGTTGCAAGGCACATAGCGGAAAGCGAAAGTTTTGTCGTGGATAGAAAACTACTGGATATTGAGAGGGAGAAATGGAATGAAGATGTCGCAAGTCTCTCAAAGGGCTTCACGACTAACATTACAGATGAACGAGATGGAGCTGACAGAAGACAATGGGAGATGCCTAGTTTTGAGACTAAAATATTGGTCAGTCGGGACTACCAGGAAAAGTTTGAGGCTCAAAAGCTAGAATATCTCAACATGATTGAGGAAAACGTGAAGAGGCATAAGAATCACAAGGAAAATGAGTGCAATTGCGGACCTGTTAGCTCCTCAAACAGGATATTCCAGGGACAGCGATAGAGACTTAGAGGGTTATACGGTTATTGAGTCCGTGTCTTCGAGTGCTTGTCTCAACCTGCTTTTAGAGTAACATCACTCCACCATTGTTATCCGGCGTCTGCACCTTCACTCTTGCTAGCTTCTTACTTTCCACATCGCCCACCGTCAAATCCTTTATAGGTGTGCTTTCCTATAGTGTTGCACTTCGTGCAACCTGGCGACCACAACATTTATCAAATGAGGAAAGTGGTATAGACAATACGGCCAATAATCACAAAGCAAAGACCCGAAGATAATGCACCAGATATCTAGGTACTGAACCTGATCAAATTAGAGTTACAAAATCGGAATATGAAGATTATATCCGTTCAAGTCAAGGAAAGAGCGCGATGCAAGTATTGATTATATTAATCTGAAAAAAATCCAAGTAGGGCGTTTGAATACCATCGACCACATCTCCCTATTACTCCTCATACACGATCGAGATCAACGTCGAACCGTGCTAAAATACTATGAGCAATAATGTCAACACAATATGACGCGATCGGTGCCAAATATGACCTTTTTTGCGATCTTCCGATTCAGCAGATGAATCACGCAGCTATGATGAAACATCTTGGCCCCATTGTTCATTCCAAACGAATCCTTGAACTTGCGTGTGGAACAGGCTTCTATACTTCTAAAATGTTGCACATGGGCGCTTCTCATGTGACTGCGGTTGATATCTCATCCGCCATGGTATCTGCTGCTCAAGCCAAGATTCCAGTTGAGATGAAAGATAATATCACTTTTTGCACTGCAGATTGTGCACAATCATCCATGTGGAATGAGGTCCAGCTTCGTGGTCAAGAAGGAACTTTTGATATGGTTGTCGCAGCTTGGCTCTTAAATTATGCAGAAACACGAGAGATGCGGAGAATGCTTGAAAACATATATTTGGCCCTGAAGCCTGGAGGAATTTTGATCGCATTGACTGTTAACGCGCCAATCATCGACAGTTTTCAACCAAATGACCAGCTCAACCCTAGAGAGGCACATCTTGGTTCAGTCTATGATGTTATTGGGACTGTCGAGGGAGGATATAAGATCCTTCTTTCTAGTGTGGGATTGGGGGAGAACGACATCAAGTTCGAATTCTACTTCTTGCGAGAGGAGGTTTATCGTCAGGCAGCAGCGGAAGCAGGCATGGGTCAGCTCGAATGGAACGTGGTATTGCTAGGCGAAGAGCATCTTCAAATGCAGGTAAGCAAAGTTTTGTCTTTTATCCACCGGGTTCCTCTGGCTAACATATGGATTGGAGGGCCCGAAATTTTGGCAGCTATATTTAGATCGTCCTAGAAGTGCCATTTGCGTTTCGAGAAAGCCAAAGGTGGAGCTTCGAGAACAATCTTCCATTAACATTAGTTCGGGTTCGGAACTGCTAACAAAGACTGAGTAATCATCAATTTGTTTGATGAGCTCTGGCTCTCCCTCAGTAGTTCTCTGATCCCTAGGTAGTGAATCTGATCGATAGTATAAATATAAGGAGACCACATTTCGGAAAAAGCTTGTCTGAATACCATCGTTTCAGTTGTACCAAACTGTTGTGAGAGCATCCTCTCTTTCATATAAAATTAGCAATAGCATCTCATCAATCGCTTGAAGAAATGAATTAGAGGTTTCATAAGGCTGTTGGAATTATTCTTTATTTGACAGAATAATTCAAGTCACTAGAAGACCAACTAGATATGGACATATTGGACTCCTAAGTTCGGATTCCTTACATGGGCAACATTAAGGAAATTTCTGACCACTTAGAGGGAGAATACAATATAATGGAGAAACATGTAGTTTCCATTTACAGTGCCATCAATAAGCCCTGAACTTATAAGCCAATGCCACTATCACCCCCAACTGTTGTTCTTTGTCTTTTCCAGCCATATCTTTGGTTGCCTTGCCAAACAATCTCCATACCTCAATAAACTAAATGTCGCTATCTGGGCTAGTACCAATAGTCCTAAGAGCAGCTTTCATATTTTCATGATTTTTGACATGTCGAAGATCATCAAGGGTCAAAGAGCTTGGTGCATCTGGATGACCCTTTTGCCGGGACATTTGCGTATGTATTGAAGCTAGTTGCACGCAGCAAATTACAAGAGTAGCAAGGCCAGCACCTAGAGCAGTTGCAACGGAGGATCCGGTCTGTGGCTGAAAGTGCTGGCTGGAGTCATTATCGAGTGAAGCATTTTCTGCGACTTCGTATCCGGGAATAATAAAGTCCAAGTGTCTTATGTTCGGCACCCAGTCCCAAACGTTGCCGTTAGGTTTTGCAGCGCCTATCTTAAACATTTTCGTGGGATTAGACGCCGCGGGATAGTCGTTGTCTTGATGTAGTCCTTTGTCGGCTGCAGAACAGAACAGAAGAATCCCTGCTTTGACAGCGCGGCGCACTGCCGAGTCAAACTTTTCTTTCTCCTCGCTGTTGCTATCGGGTTGCTTGATCGTCCATGACATTGAAATTATTTGCACTTTACGATCTACTGCCGCATCAATTGCCTGCATTAAACCATGAATCAGCACGCGTATTTAAGTTTGATTGCAGTGATAGGAGCACATAGTTGATCTCACCTCTGCCGCGCTTCTTGTCCCAATCCTGGCCTTCTGCTCTTTATGGTCGAAATGCGTTTCAAGCTTGATCACATAGATCTTGGCCATTGGGCATATGCGGACGATGTTCTTGGCCATCACAGTGCCATGACCTCTTTCCGAGATCCAATGCGACCGTATGCGGTTAGCACCCTTGTCTCCATAATCGAAGCTTTTGCCGTCAGATATTTTGCCACGAAGCCGAGACTGAAGAACATCTACGCCGTCATCTATTAGTGCGATTTCTACGGGCTGCATGAGAGCTTCCTGTTGCTGAAGTTTTTGTTTCATCGACCACGACCAGACGTTTTGGAACACATCTTTAAATTCATCCATACAGTTGAGCCATCTATGGGGTTGTAGAATGTGTTCTTGCTTCATCTCGGAAGCTGCGAAAGTCATGGTGAGCAGCCGTCTATTTTGGCCATCTTCATCACTACGCTTCACGATGATCCTAGGCCGAATAGAGAGTGGCACTGGCTGTTCAATAGGTATTGAAAAATTTCTCTGATACTCGACGTGCCACTATTAAGTCGATCGCAGAAGCTATCAATCTTCTTTTGCATGCGACTGTGGCTTTCTAGATCCTACACACATGCAGCTTAACGATCTTGTGATTCGAGAAAGTAGGATAAGGGAAGACTAACCTGTTTGACATGAAGATAGACCTTTGTCAAATCCTCCAGCCTTCTCAGTCCTTCTGGCTCGCTCCAGCCTCTAAGCACAGCGTTATTTCCACTCCATTGGAGATGAACCTTTCTTAATTTCCTATTCGATGTCCATATTGTCTCTGGGCAAAGGTCCACCTTGCGCCAATCCAAAATTTCGACATCAAATCCTTGAAGAGCCTTTTCGATCGCTTCGTCGCTATGGGCGGGTGTGTTAGAGTCGTCAACAATGACCTTTAGGATACGTTTCACTCCTTTATCTTTCAACCATTGAAAGAAAAGCATCATATCACAGCGTCCATTTCCATCCTCAGTAGATTTATCCAAAGCATATGGGTAATCTGGGGCCGGATGTACTCGGATATTTGGAAAAGCAACATATTGTAATACTGTATCCAGCTTTACATGCTCAAAACTCTCAATGAATTCTTCGGGGTCAATTTTCAACGGAGCCCCTAGATAATCGAAGCAAATGTGTCTTGCTGTTACCTACATCAGTTTCATGTAACACAAGTGATGTATTCTCATGGTGGACTAGCCGATCAAACAGAAGTCTACAATATTAGGAAAACTAAAAATCTCTGAAGACCTTTTTTCTTTCCAAAAGACTAAGAGAATAAAACTATATGGTTTTGTTTCATCTTAGATGAATGGAGGAGTTACTTGAGCGAAAATTGATTGGGAAATAAGAAATTCAAGACTATAAATACCTTTCGTACTTTTTCTATAGAGACGACTAGCTGCGGTTTCCGGACTCCTTGTTCGCAAGTAGTGTAAGTGCAACATCTCCAGAATCTTTTCAGCACTTTCTTCTGTGACGGCTTGCTCTTCCACCTTCCCAGACCTCATTTTGGAGCTCTCCCTGGACACCTTAGTATTCGAAATATGCGCAGGCGTAATAGGTGAAACTTTCAAGTCAGCTGATACAGTTACATTCGGGACCTGATTTGTTTGTAACAGTGTATTTTGCATCTGAGACGGTTTTCCATTTAATTCGGCATTTAAATTTGTGCCACGCCATTTTTAGGCAAGATCTTCTCTGGTCCTTCTCTCGTTTGGCAACTGAGTCATCTGTTTCGGGTCATCATATTCCTTGGGAATTTTCGGCTGTGGCAGAACCGTCTCTTTCGTTGGCGGCGTCCATTCTGCTAGCCGCTCGTCATTAATTTTCCCGCCCTTTTTGGAAGAGACATATTTTTCCCGGGTACTCTCATGATATCCATAGACTGAGAAATAGTCGGGCTTGTTGCCTAGCTTATCCAAAGCAGAATCGCCACACTCAATCAGCTTACGAACAATCTCAAACTGGGAATGCGTGCAACGCTCGTATTCAACTGCATAATGGAGAGGAGTGAACCCTTTTGAGTCTTGTGCTTTCAGCGTATTTTCCGTCGTTTTCTCGATCAGATTTGTAATAATGTTCACTGGTAACTTATGTCGAATGGCTGCGATCAAACAGTTTTCTGAGCGCTCGCTACATTGCATCCCCAGTGCGATTACAAGGGCATCTTGGACTATGGGTGATTGATCTTTGTTTTCGCACATGTATGCTACGAGTTTAGCATCCTTTCTCGAAATAGCTGCGTACAGTGGATTGCTCTCGCTCCCAGTTTCATCCTTACTTATCAGAAGCCTCGAGTACGCTTCAGGATACTTTGTCGTCAATTTCGAGATGAGCGACTTCGTAGAGCTGTTAGAAGGTCCATCCCAATATGCTAGAACATGTAAGAGATTTCTGTATTCCTCGACTCGTTCTTCTATATACCTGTCGTACTTGTCGAAAAACTTCTTGCGCTCCTCGCTCTTGCCTAATTTGAGCTTCCCAATTCTGATAAGTTGTAGAATCTCATCGAAGGCAGTCTTTACTGGATCTTGCGCGATGGCAATCTCAACTTCGTCATCATCTTCCGCCTCTTCCTCGTCTTCAGAGTCGTCTGAATTGTCAACATTCAGGATACGACGCCCATTACCCCCGGTTGACTTTCGTGTCAATGGACGCTCTTTTTCCGCCGATTCAGAAAGTTCTGCAGTCATATTGTAGGTCGTCGAATGCATAGATTTGGAATATCTTCCTGTCCAGGTACATTGTTGAGGGCCCGAGAAGGCCTGCTGAGATCGATATCCCCAGCCTTATGTTCCCGCCCTCAACTCATTGCCTCTTTCAAGCCAGGGTCACTCTGGACTGCATGAAAACCCCTGGGCTATCGATGCCGGCCATAAGCAAGAACTACAACATCCTTTTCTGATTCGTTACACCTTTTGTCAGGTGCAAGAGAAAATTCCTGATTATGCACAAAGTTCATAGAGTAATCTTCCCTCGTTCATACTCGTTCGTAAGCTGTAATCAAAACCATGGCATATTATATGGAGTAAGCGCAGCAGGATGATAGAGCACACGTGGAAAATATTGTACCATTTCAACATCAACTGGGGACGAAGATTATTATTGTTCATCCATTCTTATTCTATTCATTCTAACACGAGACGTCGGGAAATAAGAAATTGGAAAATTTCAATTTCTCGTATACAGATGTCAATATTCTGTGACGAGAAAAGCACCCTTGAGTAAAACTCTGGAACAATCATAACAACGGCATTAGTCGCAAGTTTTGCGACACTACCCCGTGGATATTATTGATCACGTGACTGTTCCGCATTCTGGACTGACTTGGGCACCATCAGAATGCACACCACTGTGTTCGATTATACATAGATGTCTTGTTCAGCCACACCTTCATGTTTTACTTCTCCTCCCTAAATACCTAAAATTCGTTGACATTCACCTCTGTTTGACTACACCTTCCTGTTTCAATTGAGTCACAAATGTGACGTCGGTGACTAGATCTAGGTCGAAATCGCAAAGTCTCTCTATCGCCCTCTCGTAATCCATCAATGTGTTTGTAGACTTCAATTTTGGATCAAAGAATACAGGATCGTCCTTTGCCTTTGCGCCGAAGACCCTTTCTAGCCCACTCATAAAGTCCACCTCGGCCTTGATTTCCACGATGCACTTGAAAGGATCATTATGCTTCCGCTTCAGCAAGATCCCGACTTGCATGGAAGATGGTACACCAGTCTTACGAGTGCCATTCTCTATCAAGCTCCAAGAAGCACAGTTATCGGGCCCATAATCAAATCCTATCAGATCGATAGAGCCAACAATAGTCGTGGAATCAGTTATATCAGCACTTGTTTTCTTCTCCCACATAAATTCCGCATTTGCTTCTAAACTCAAAGCGCCTCCTCCTGCGTTTATCTTGTTTCCTTTACTGGTTTCCTCATTGTGAGTCGTTTCTACCATTTCAAATCGTCCATCTAATGATATAGCCACAATCTCTGGTCGAGCTCCACCTGGCTTCATGCCTGTGAACTTAAGTGAGATATTGGCGCTAGCTACTCGACGTGAACGTTTTCGAGGGTCAATTCGTAAGAGAAGAACGAGAAGGGTACCATAAGTATTGTTATTCTGCTCGAAATTCCCATGCACAATGTCAACACATGTGCATTTGATATCAATGGCCCCTTTTCGATTGATAATGTTCTTCCTTTGCCATGGATCGGAAGGATCATTTTTGGTGTGAAAGCCGCTGTTCTCGTCACCTGTTGTAAGCATCTCGATATCAAAAGATGGGAGCTCAGGCTTGTCGAGACTAGAGCCTCCGATTTCCGACGTCATTCTATTAATCATGAAATGATTTTTGCTGCGAGTAGCCACTTTGATATAGTTTTTGAATGAAAAATGAAAATAAAAGCTGAAAAATCTCGAGGCTGAGAAGGGAAAGCTTATCTTCTATCATCTTATGATTCGCGAAGCAAAGGTTGCTTTCAATGCCTCCCAGTTTCTGAAGGACCCCCGCCATTCATCTGCACGAGTCTTCGATGCCTCAAGATCTCCCAATTAGGCAAGCCTAACATAATCTCTAGTCACCATCCACAAAGACGCTCCATCATCCAAAGTTCTTCGCCTCTTCCATCTTCGAATCTCTTTATCTAGTTATACTGAATAGCGGAGAAGTCTGTTTCTACCATTAATAATGTCAGAGACGACTTTCGCTGTTCAGCGCCCAGGTGATAGTGTGGCTGACACAGGGGTAGCCGCATCACCAAAAACGTTTGGCTTGGCAATCAGTGAAGCATCCACTAGTACACTGGCGAGATATGAGTACGTTTTTGAAGTATCTGCTTCACCGTTGTCATTTGCTTACCATATATCTGACAAGTATTGTCGCGGTGCACGGTCTTGGCGGCGATTCTAAATACACATGGGGAAAGCCCTCTGGTGAGGGCTTGTGGCTCAAAGAGGCATTGTTTCCAAACATCGATGTGCGGATTATGACATATGATTATGATCTAGATGGCATTGCAGAAACCATTTACACCAGGAAAGGGATTCTTGACGAGGCATCAAAGCTTTTGGAAAGTCTTCTAGATTTGAGGAAATCGGAAGTGTCAGAAAATGTTTGTCTAAGAGATTGATACATCTGTAAAATTCGTTCTCACGCATCTAGGCTGTTATCGAAGGCGGCTCAGATGGTGCTCCTGAATTGGAGGCCACCAGACGTCCTCTTATTTTTGTTGGACATAACTTAGGTATCATTATCATCAAACAGGTAGGACCAGATACTTTTTCTCCAGCTTGATTCTTGATGAGCGCTGTTAGCATCGGTAATTAAAGAACCTGACACCGTGCTATCAAATGAATTGAGTTTCTTCAATATAATTCAATCTGACATCTGTACTAGGCCCTCGTTCTTGCTGGCTTTGATCTTTCAGATGATGAAAGTATTAAAACATCGACTGTAACCGTGGTAGGTAGCTGAGGTTGTGGCTCTCACCAGATCAAAGAATGCTGATCAATTTTAGATCTCTTTTAGTGCACCACATCGGCATCAATCCTTTGAGGATATGGAAAAATCTATTGCTAAACTGCTCTTGGAGAATCGCGGGTCGCATCTAAAGAACTTCATGGCCGCTGTCAACGGACTTTCCCGAGCAATTGTTGATATTAACAGCTTGTTTATCTATTCTAAAGTACTCATTCATGTCCGAATGATAAACGTCTTCTCCTCGTCCACGGATCATGTATTGCAAGTAAGTTAGGCTCTATATCAGTTTTGTTATCCAAGAACTCCACTCAGCAGTTGGCTAATCATATAGGTATTTGACGAGTTTATGTCAACGATGGATGTTCCCTTTGAACGACGAATAGGGATTGATTGTCCTGAAAAAGAGCTTCCTTGTAGCCCAAAGGATCACAGCCAGATTTCTGAAGGTGTTCTTGATTTCATTTCGTATTCTTCGGATTTTGATTCTCCTCTTTCTCGTTGTCTGAAAATTATGCTATCACAAGCTTCTCCTGTATACTCTCCCAGTGTGACCGGCGATCTCTCGAACTCTGAGGACCTAGCCTGGATTGCTGGAAACACAAACTTCCAAGAATGGTTGAGGGCCAAAAATACGAACATTCTCCATATGCATGGAAATTTTGATGTTTCTCGGTTTACGAAGTTCGTTACAAAGCAACTTGAATCCTGGAAAGATGCACCAACCGACACGTCTGTTCTTTATTTTGAATTCAGGAAGCATGACTCACGGTACAACACTTTAAAGTCTATGTTCTACACGTTCTTGGCACAATTAATTAGTCACTATCGCGAGTGCGGCAAGGGCCTTAACAACAATCTTGAAAGATTCCTGAATTACCATAGCTGGACCAATCAACACCTACTAAATTTCATATACTTTCTGCCCATCACAGATTCGATAGACAATGTGAGGTTCATTATCAACGGAATAGACGGGTGCGGAGAAGATTGTGGGTGGTTTTTGGCCAATCTCGCATTTATTTCCAAAACTTCTGAAACTCCATTCAAGGTTATTGTCACGAGCAAAAACCACCAGCCAATTCTGTCCAAATGTTTAACTATAAATATGGATCAACACAATTCCAATCTCACTCCTCAGCTGAAAGCACCATCTGCAGTAGCATATGCATTATTACGATTATTTCAGGAGCGCCCACAGTATTGTGGCCTCGAAGCTTCGCTAAGAGAGATACTTAGTCAAGCTGATGAAGACTATGTGTGTCATTTAATTTTAGACTGGCTTAGGTTCAAGCCTCATTCAACAACAAAAACATGCTTGAAAGAACTTTTGCGAAATCTGTCGGTTGTCACTCCAGAACATATCCTCACAGTAATCCTGCATTCAGTGCCTGCATGGAGACAACCTTGGGCTCAAAAGATCCTCCAATGGGTAACCTACTTCCACCATCCTCTGACAATTTGGGAGCTTCGGGGGGTTAACGTTAATCTTGATGCGGAAGTTTCAGATCAGGAGGAATGCACGGTGGAAGAACTTATGGAAAAGCTTCATGAGACTTTTGGCGGCATATTAGTCGTAGAGAACAACGAAGTCTCATATCATCACCCATTCATAAGACACTTCTTTACGACTTTGGCTCCCATAAACGCATTGTTTTATAGCGGGAGCCGAGTAAGATCTCATAAGAATATTGCAATATTCTGCCTTGGTTACTTGTCTTTAATCGAATCTCAAAAACGCGCAGCAACGTTCTACCGTATCGATCTTCATGGAGGTCCGCACGTATGTCCAGTATCTGATTTCAGACATGATCTTATTTCATACGCCACGATTCAATGGCCAAATCATTGCAAGGTTGCTATCTCAGAAGAATTAGAACCAAGTGATCTACTTGTTGCGGTTGAGACCTTTCTGGGCCAAACAGAGATCAGGGATATTTGGGCGGAGACCTACCACATTCTGTCACATCCTATCATAAGGCCCAAAGCCCCCCTATCAACAGCTTTCGTGATTCTGAGCTTACTAGGACTCAATACACTTATTGCTCCGATGATTCATAAAAGCAAATATCCACAAGATCTACATAATGAATACGATGCGGCCTTGGTCGAAGCAGCGCGTCATGGTCATCGGGATACCCTAGAAACCCTTTTAAACAGCTTCAGCCCAACCAAGCGTACACTTGAACTGTCAATTCGTTCAGCGGACTACCGCGTCTTATTCACTCTTCTTAAATGTGCCTCTAGTCTATCTGACAAATACGATTATTCTACCGAACTTTCGTGCAGAGCGGCTTGGCTCGGGCTAGACGATGCTGTAGAATTTCTCATCGGAAAAAGTGTCGCAGTTGATTTCGAACCACTTCCTAGAATGTCCCCCTATCTCTTGCTGTACGAATGACTCACGGGCGGGTTGTCAATTTGCTAATCTCCGCAAATGTAGATCTCAATTGGTCATCAAAAGGAACCCCTCCATTAGATATAGCGTGTTCCATTGGAAGCCTCGAGTCGGTGAAGTTACTTTTAGAGGCTAATGCAGATATCGACTGTAGAGACGATCTTGGCTGGTCTGTGCTCCAAACCGCAGCCTACTTTGGCCATCATGAAATTGTCCGGGAGTAAGTAGTGAGATTTCTCAGAGGACAAGCAGTTGTGCTAATTCTCATGTTAGGCTTTCGAGTATGGGGGCTGACAAAAGTTACACGGGTGACGAAGAGCAGCCCTTAAGCATAGCATTGAAACACGACTTTTCCAATTGCTGTCGTGCGCTTGTGGAAGCTGGGGCTCCTACCACAGCTTCAGAAGGCTCTCGCCCTCCATTGTGGTTTAGCGTTGACTATTTAAATAAAGAAATATGTGAGCTCTTGCTCAAACATGGAGCAGATCCGAATTGGAAAGCTGGGTCGGATCATGCACCAATTTTGACTAGAGCTGTTCAGCGTGGTGGGAATGTTGAGTTGGTGAAATTGCTCTTGGACAACGGGGCCGATATCAATGTGATAGACGAGTCCTCCGAGTTGAAGAACTCTGTCATTTCAACGGCTGCAGAGTTTGGTTGGACCGAAGTCGTAAAGCTCCTTGCTGAAAGAAATGCGGACGTCAACGTTTCAGGAGACGAGGGCGTCACCCCAATTTATTTCGCAGCCCGCCACAACAAGCCGGAAACTGTTCAACTACTGATGGATTTAGGGGCAAACCTTGAAATGAATGAAAAGTTGAATGACGGGTGGGGCCCCTTGCACATCGCATTCGACTTTGTTGAAGTTGTGCGTATTCTCCTACAAAATGGTGCTGACATTACTCGAACTTCCTCTGGTGGAAACATACTTTTCCTCGCCAGCAGAAACAATCACATTGATGTCGTAAGAGTTTGTCTGCAATATAAGCCGGACGTGAATATCGGATATCATCAAACTGCAGCCAGATCCCACGAGGGCGCTACAGCTTTGACGGCTGCAATTTGCGGAGGACACACCGAAATTGTAAGGCTATTACTTGAGGCTGGCGCAAATCTCAATCAGCGAGGTTACTTGAATAAATACCCTTTGCAATATGCATTTACGAACGAGGCTTCCTCTGACGGGCCTTTGCGAGCTTTACTTGAATATCGTCCTGACCTGGATCTCGTTGACGATGATGGGAATACTGCGCTGCATTATTTAAGAGGAAGAACTCCCTTGGCCTGAGTCAAACTTTTGGTGAATGCGGGAGCCAGTATAGAAATCCAAAACAAAGATCTCATGACCCCTTTGGGCATCGCAATTCAGTGCCGCAATACCGAAATCGTTGAATATCTCCTGTCCAAAAATGCACAAGTCAATCTTACGGGTGGAAAATATGGCGCACCGCTTATTATTGCTTGCTTGACTCGCGATCTACCCCTCATAAAACTTGTGGTAAAGAAAGGGTCTGGAATTAATGTGGACTTAGCAAGTCCAAATTGGTATGGTACAGCTCTACAGACTGCCTGTCGCAGCCCAAAATGTCCAAATAGTAATGAATTTCCCTTGGTATCATATCTCATCGATGATGCTAAGGCGAACATTAACGCATACGGTGGAAGAATAGGATATGCAATCAATGCAGCCTGTCTTTACAACGATTCTTCACTTGTCAAATTTCTATTGGACAGAGGAGCGGATTCAGATGTCGCAGATTGGATGGGCCGCAAACCGATTCACCTGGCAGCTCTCCGAACAGTCGACCATTTCAATTTTCTCGCCGATGACAAGTTTATCAAGGCAGAAGACAAACTAGAAAGGATACCCTTGCACTACTCTGTACTTAGTGGCGAAATTGGTTTGGTCGCAATGGTACTTGAGCACTCGATAGCTTGTCTAGGTTCAGAAGTTGTCAATTACCCTGACTGTGACAATTGGACACCGCTCATGTGGGCCGCTAGAATTGGTGTGAGATGGAAGGCAGGAAGAGACAGTCAACCTGAAGTCATTAGGCTCTTATTATCGAGTGGTGCAAATCTTTGGGTGAGGGGGGAGGGACTTGATCGCGTATGGTCCCCCTTGAAGGTCGCTCGATATTACGGAGCGAGCGAGGAAGTTTTAGGACTTCTGACACCAAAAGCCGATGCTCAATCTCCACATGGTGAGAAATGGGTCAGAAAATTTCATATTTCAAAGAAAGCGTCCGTGCAACCTTCTAAAGTTTGTGACGGATGTGAGCTCGTACGTAAGCTTCAGAATTTCAGTCATTTCAACTCACTTGAGACAATGATCTTGCATCTACTGATACAAAAATCATAGGGAATTGTGGGGACATGGTTTGAATGCCAAAGCTGTTGGGATTTTGATCTATGTTTCAAATGCTACCGATCAAGGGACACTTTACAGCCTGATTGTTCGTTCGAGGAGCGCGGTACTGAATATGACCCTGAGCCTGAATCCGAGCCCGAGATTAGAGAAAAGCCTCTCGAGTATGAGGACAACGCAACTGTTGCCGAAAGTGAGACTTCTGACGAGGAAAGTGAGGACGAAATATCAAGTAATGGTCTTAAGGGAAGCAAAGACGATAGCAATGTGGTTGATTTAAAAGATGATGATGACGATGAGGAAGAAGAAGAAGAAGATTCTGACGACAGCGACTGGTTGATAGGTTTGTGGCGTATTTCACGTCAAGTTTCAGGCCATTTAAATATTCTACTCATGTACTTGATGTCATCATAGAACAGTCTCTTCCCTTTGAAGTTCAAGGCTTTGACATACATGGAGGAAATGCAATAAGGAAAGCCAGTCTAAGTTAGGGTCGCGAAAAGACCGTCTTTTGAAGTTGCACTTCTGTTTCATACCACATTAGTATGGTATCTCAATTTCGATAATCTTCTCGAGATCTGGAGTTTCGATATTGATTGAATATAAGACTATCATCCAAAACCACATTTGCTATTATATAATCGAACTGATTATGAGAAGTCTCATAGAATCATTGATCATGTAGAATCTCTCATATCTTTTCAACTGACACTTCCATCAAGTTTACATCCCCAGGCCGGCACTTCAAGCAGGCTCTAGCGAAACATCTGTATTGAACAGACAGCCAGCCAGCATGAACTCAACGTAACGGAACAAAGCCCCATGCGTAATCTTTGTCAATCTTATCATCGAAAAAGATTTCACTTCATTCTTTATGCTCGCGGGTCATCAAGTGCCATAGGATATTTCTACTGTGTTCTTTCTCCACATTCGTCGTAAGTCCACAGGTGCCCTTTATAATGCCATGAAGCAGTGAAACCATGAACTTGCTTGTCTTGAGTATCTGCGCTTCTCGTTACTTTACTGCCATGAAGCTTGAATAATGGGGCAAGTTTCTGAACCGTCTTTAGTACTGATTAAAGTCCTTATTATCTTAGGGCCCGTTTGGCTCGAGGCTCGCATTAATATTGACAAAGTGCATATAAGTAAATTTTTGTATTATATAAGAAAAAAGATGAATTTATTAATAGTTTGGCTTACATTATAAAAATATAATTTAAAAATAAGTATAGATCTAATTAAAAGTAAAACCTCTTCAATAATCCCATTTTTATAATCCTAAACTTTATTATTATTATATCTAAATTTAATAGTATATTAATATTTATTAAAAAGATTTATAATCCTAATATTTATATATTGAATATAGAAAGTGATATAGAAAGCGATGAAGGGGAAGGAAGTTATATATGTGAAGGGTCTATTATATAACAAATTAGCCCACTTTTCATTTTGGTAGTGTATTCAAGAATGCAAACGAAAATATGCATTTCTTTCGCATTTTCAAATTGATTCAAACGAAACAGCTCCAAAATGTACATTTTGACTTATAAAGTGCAAAGAAATCTATGTGCATTTTTTTTTATATAACACATTATTTACGCGAGCCTCGAGCCAAACGGGCCCTTAGCTACTCGAGCATTCAAAAAATATGATACAAAGATTGTGGACGTTGTAAGATCTTACATCCGTGCATAACAGGGCGTATTATAGCGGCATAGCCACAGTGTAATCAGCGGGCGTCAGGATTAAGGCCACAGCCACAGATATTGTAGCCGTCTCCAAGGAGAACCTTGCACTCGTTCGGCATTGCAAATACATACACCATTCATTATTTTATGTTCATATTTATTCATTGATTCACGTCCCCGTCCCCCAGAGTCCCAAATCCGTTTTATCTACGAACAACTATCTCCATTCATGTACCGGTGCTTCGGATTCTTCTCGTTCCGTTTTAAGCTCCGCAATGCTTTTTATCTCTAACAAGCAACGCTAGCTAAGGCCCTAAATCAACTCAATTCCTGTGAGCCTCGGCAAGACGCCATTCGTAAGCCTCTTGGATGCAGAACACTACACCTCGTGGATAGTTGTCCTCTTTCTTGCCTGGTTCTCCTGTCTAAAGCATGATGGCTTGCCAGGTTGAGATTTAAGCTACCAGAAGATTGGGGAATCACCGATAATTTCCCATTTTCAACGCGAGTGACGTTGCAACACTTGGCCGTCGTATCTTTCAGTATTCACAAAGCGAAAGTTCAAGCTGGCGGATACTGAAGGTACAGAAATCAAGAGCTTTACACACCTGAAGATTTCACATCTGTAAGAATGGTGAAAGCACCGAAGACGGCTGCACAAGCTTTGCGATTGATCAGGAGAATCTCGTGGGGCGGCGGTGTCATGGAATTCGGAACACATCTGAAAAATAAACAAGCTGGCAAAATCAAAGGTTGATTTCATTTCCCGATACGAAGCAAGACGTTTCTTGAGGTGCGAATGCCTTGGTAGTCCCTGTTTCATGCTGTATAACGAAAGGCACTTTTTGCACCTCACTGTTAGCACGAATTTTTGGGATCGTTCTTAATATACCCCTAAATTTCTATAGAGTGGTTAGACGTACCCCAAGGGTTAGTCAATCAAAGTTGGTCAAGCTCTTGATCTAAGGTCCTTGCTCGACGACCTCTTGCTCATATGCTGCAATTCTCTTTGACTTGGGCATCTAAAGCTCGCAACGCCGCTTCTCACTGAGACGAATAGAGATATTCAAATTTTTGCAGCTATTATTTTAGAAGTTAAGATCCAAGAACGGGAGCAGGCGCGGGTTTTAGTCTGGTTTTGATATTCGGGGCCGGGAGTCTTCACAGTTTGAACAAGTGTAAACACATGATCTCGACCCTTTCCATCAACCCCACTCTCCTAATATCCTAAAGAGTGTGGCATATTTCTGAAGCGCAATATAATAAAGCTTAGATCTTGAGTTCAGCTGAGGTATCACTCACCACAATACTTGGGGTAGGACTGACTTCGATCTCTACCAAAGGTTTACTTAATTCTACTGCGAAGAACGTAGGCCAAATAAGCTAATGGCAGTAACCACGAAATCATCAAATGTCATGTATAAGCATTGGTTTTCCCGTAACTCTAAGATTTAGCTACGACAACCAGTGTTATTCTGCGTATCTCCGTTGCTCATCTTGTGGCGAACGGTGAGGGAATAGCAAGGCTTCCCATTCACCCCAACCAATACAAGCGATATAGAAGCAGCTTAGCAGTAAGATGGGTAACCAGCAACCAATTTTCGCCATTGGAAAGCTTTGAACGTTCTCTCGATCTAACACTATTATCTAATTTCAACCCTCGTTACAATGTCTTGTTCTATTACAATTTGATCCTAATCCTCAGATTGCACACTCGGCAGCCAATATATACTTCAATGTTCATCCGGGCCTCGATGCACCAGGTCCAATGCCTCAGAGAGATCCTTTGTACTGTACGGGCCTGCTCTGCCCTCGATCCCTGCATCTACGTAGTGGGCCATGATTGCATTACGTCGACTGCTCCGAAGTCCATGAAAGCCTTCCACAATTCCTTTCAAAACATCGCCAAAGCTGAGTACATGGACAAGCGCTTGCCACCAGGGTAGTGGAAAAGAGGTTTGTTGGCAAGAGAAATGCATCATGTTCTCGGAACTGGGACTTTCCGACGTCCGAGTCATATTGCCGCCATATTCTTGCCACGGATATGCCCAAAGATGGAGGACCGCTACACCTGCCATCTCAACGCATAGAAGAGTGTTCGGAATGCCTACAGATAACGAAGGATATGACAATTTTTCTGTGGGCTGTAGTTTGCCGTCTTCGGTGGTAAGTCGTCCGAAGATGAACTAGTGATGTTAACGTTAGGGACCACATGTAAGAATCTACACAAGCTTACCGACTGGACGTGAAACAGGAACACAACCAACTTGATGGCCACGAACTTGAGAAGAGGATTCCGTTCCGCGAGGACTACCTTAGTCCAGCTATAGAATTGAAGCAGACAGAACATGGCGATGACCAAAGAAATAATCTCAATGATCTGAATCTGCTTGCGGCACTTAGTCTGTGAGGCCTCTCTCTTCATTTTCAAGACAGTTTATTCACGTACCCAAATCCTGCCATGTTTAAAACTGCTGGATTCTTCGCAGTAGACACCTGCAGCTTCTGTAATGCATTTCACCAGAGCTCCAAGGAATTTTACTACACAGAACTGAAACACGGCAGCCCAGATGATCTGTAAAGAGCCTTCATTAGCAACGCTTTCAAGTTCTTCTGGACTGAAAGCTGCTGAGGGAATAGACTCACCCCAAACCACTTTAGCCCATCTTCTGTATAAGTGGTTTTCTTGCGCCAGATTTTCATTCGCAGGAATCGGACTGGAGATAACCAGGGCTTGGGTTGTACAAGAGCAAAAACTCTGCGGAGCGAGTGCATTTCTATATGCAGATATCTGCAGAGCAGTAGAAAGAACGAAGCGATGACAATTGACTCGTAAAACTCGTATATGGCACCAATGTAAACATTCTCCCTATAATATTGGGTACTGAATATACAACAGGTGTGTATACAGGGACCATGAAAAGAATTCGAATAATTCTAGCGAGTTCCGTCAGAGAAATTTCTAGAATCTAGCCAAAAGCTGGTTGACTTACAATTTTTGCGTTTTGGGGTGGACGTAATTACTGAGATGACGCCAGATCAGGTAAAACGATAGACTGCATGCAATTATGCTGCATACAAATGAGATGATCAACAGAATAACATGGGCCTGTAAGCTCCCTGAGATGTTTTCTTCAACGACTAGTGGCAGTTAGTTATCGACGTCGGTAATACGATGATACAACTCACTAGGAACATTCAGAGGATGACTCTTGCACTTTGCCATGACTGCAGACTTTTGATTGTATTCAATGCACTGCTATTCAGTCACATCGATGCAGAGGAAAGACATGATATTTGAGCAGGTTGAGAGGTCTCCAGTCGAGACAGATACACTATGCGCATGCCACGCTCCAACTCCTATCCACAGGCGAGAGCAGGGCTGAAAGTACCGACTTGCCGCACATGTGATTCTTGGCAAGAAGGCTGTACGAAGTTTAAAAGAGTGATTGTAGCAATACAAATCCTACAAAATCAGCCCAATGCGATGAAAAAAAGCAAATAGAAATTAGGAGAAGCGGAACCAAAGATGAGGTCCGCCGAGAAACTTTCTTTTTACTTTCATAATCCTACTTCCGATTCTCCTTCATTTATACTCATGTTCATTAAGCTATTGTGCAATCCTATAACAACTTCGGAGTGATATTCATCCGATTATCCGTCTTCAAACTCTATAGTTCTCGGTCCCGAGATCTACACTAATGGATTCGCTTATTTTTTTCGCAGATCCATTTGTACCTAGCCTAGGTAATTATATTAAGGTTTCAATATTCACTTGCGAAAACATGTCTGAACGGCAGCTTGATGCTTGGTTTTGACGAGTGTCAAAGTATGCTGATCGGAAGCTATCATAAGGGATAACTTGCTCCTCACTATCTAGAATGAGTATACTTGAACTAGCACGAGCATGCTTGAACGAACTTTTAAATAATATGAAAACTTCATTTACCTCACACTATGCACTACATTTATATACTCTGCTCCATTCTACATATGTATGTTTCAGTTTATGCTCAGATTTTCCTTTCATCTTTTTCTTCATTTCTCACTCAACCTAAGTGGTGTTCCAACACTACTCACAATAACCACATGAACTAATTACATTTCATACCTTAAAACAATTTCCCTTCTTGGAAGTTTGAGAAGTCAAAAAATATCAGATACTGAACCTTTCACCCCAAACAGATAACCTGAAGGAAAAAGATATTTCTGGAAGGTATTAGAAATAGCTGATGAACACTCGACCCTCTGTTCTCTCCTTTTGCATGATATTTTTCAAAGCTACGTTTCTTTATAATTTTTTTGTATATCTAGCATCCACACCTTTGATTCCTGTCAAATTTACAAAGCTCAACAGATAGTACGTCTTCAGCCCTGCTAGTCTAGCCAATCATTCCATATCTTCACCATTCCACTATATCTCCAGTGTCTTCCATCCAGGGTTAAAGCCGAAAAGAGAAGACAGACAGAATCAGAGATATACACCCCTCACCTAACCGATCCAATATCACCACAAACATCAAACCCAAATAAGACACTCGCACCTCTCCAGTACCTATCGCATCTGCAGCGCCCACCTAGCAGAAAACCAAACACGCAATACAGAACTCACTTCAACGGGCGACAAAGAAAATCAAGTAGAAGTACTCATTCTTCTACTTCGAAGAAAGCGATATTCCTCTACAAATATATACTCTTTGCTAGTCATTACATACTGACATACTTACATATCCTTCAGCAATGCAGTATCCGACCATCCCATTACCGCAATAAATCCGATTTCTCAGAGGCCGCTCTAATAGCAAAACCAGCATTTAGCCGTACTCTTCAAAGTGACTTCTAGGTAGGTACTTAGTTATTCTTCATATATTCTATCCTGAATACTGAATATAGAATACAGCTCGAGAGATACATGTATTCAAGCGAATGTACTCGAGTATATATCATATCATCAACTAGAAATAGGAAATATGAAATGATTCCCAAAGTCCACACCAAAAACAAATTCTTTCAACAAAACTCTCTCAAAAACTAAAAAAAAGCACCTAAATTGTATGCAACCCGAAAATTTCTTACATTCCCTACCAATGGCTCTATAGAATACCACTAAAGTCAAGAATATATCCTTATACCAGAATTTTCTCTCTTTTTTATTTTTATTTTTTATAAATATTCACATATATATACATACCTACCTACACATAAATAGCCATACATCTACCATACATACACATACATACACACACCTCTCCAATTCATTCCACCTCATCACCCATTCCATAAAACCCCAAACCCGAAACTTGATTCATCACCAACTCATCCATACATACATACATCCACACCCCAAATCCCCCGCTTCTCACTCCCTACGTATCACACCTACCTGAATATCCACCTTCTCTCACTCAACCACTCAGCTAGCATAGCATAGCGAATCCCAAGTTCTATATGGTTGGTTCCTAGCTCCACCTCACTTCCACATTCATATCATCTCATCTCATCTCATCTCATCATATCTCATCTCAGCTGATATTCACCACTTGGTGTCCAGACGTTCAGATCTTATACTACTATGCTGACGATCTTCTATATCCAGGATCTTCTATATTTCTCAAGCAGATGAAATAGAACGAAATAGAAACAAGAAGGATCATTGCAATCATCAAATGAAGGGAGCTTTTGTGAAATGCTATTTATTAATATGTTGCATAGGTAAAGAGTTTCGACAGGGGTGGACACCCGTTTCTTGAATTCCTTTATCCTCCCTTTGTTCATCTTACGATGTAAATTTAGATCTTGGGGAGACATTGTTTTGACTTCAAAACTACTTTCCAAGTTCACTTCAATTTAACCCTTCTATCTACCTGGTCCTCAATCATAAACACAATAGTCAAGATAACAGGATACATATTACAAACAACAAATAGCACAGCATGGTATTTCAAATCGTAAATATTTATTAAAAGCTGATTAATTAACCATTGAATGTAAGATGTAAAAGTAAACCAAATGCTGATGAAAATGCAAATTATGCTGGTATCATGTTCGTAAAATCCATCCTTCCTTGCTTCCTTGCTTCCTTGCTTCACTAAAACGCCATTTCATACCCTACTATGCAACTCCAAACTCTCATCATCATCAAGTTGTCTCATACTTTCAAGACATCTGAAGTACCTTAGACGATATGCGCAGCATCTCCATTAAAGTGGCCTGTACCTGCACCGACAGGTTTGCGTCCAATGCCCGATGTACCAGTTCCATTATGGTACTCCTTATTTCGGATATCTCCACCTTGAGTCATGCCATGTCCATGTCCATATCCACGACCATAAGCACCGAATCCACTATCACTGTAGCCTTCGGTGCCCCATCCAGCTTTTCTCGTGAAGGTTGCATCCTCAAGATCCGCTCCAGTACCAGGGAAAGGAGTTGAGCGGTTCAATGGGATGTGGTTGGTTCTCCAGTCCCAGATCGACGCATATACCATTCTGTAAGATGAGAATGCCATAACTGTTCCGATAATAGCTCCTGCGAGACAATCATACCAATTGTGGTATTCGTCAATGGTGAGTGCACCTGCGATGAGAGTGGCGCCGAGAACAGGTGCATATGTAACGATGAGTTTCCACATGGCGGGGTGGTAGTTTGACCAAACCTTCAGCTTTGCGTTCAAGTACAAGTACAAGAAGATGAAACCGGCAAAAGCAGCAGTGGAATGACCAGATGGGAAGGATTCGAGAGAGTCATCGATTTCATCTTCGTCACCTGTACAGATTTTTCGATCGTACATGATGAAGTTGAGACCATTTCCTGTTTCTTGTGCCGCGGTGACTGGAATGTTGGGTTTGCATACGGTGAGGAAGTGAGGACGGAGACCACCAATGAGCCATTTGAGAAAAACTTGGAAGACGGCAGCTGTAATGAGGGAGTAGAGGAGACCAATTACGGCATTGTTCATATCCCAGAAAGATCGAACGCGGATTTGAACAATGAAGAATGCAGCAATGGGGACGAGAGATGCGAGGAGTGCAGCTTCCCAAATTGGAACGATTTCGTTACGGAGAGGCTAGATGAAGGTATGTTAGATATTGTTTGAATGTATTTATTAGATAATCATCAGGATAGATGGATGGTATACTTACGTATGCGAATTGAGGATAAACAATCTCTCCATCTTGGAAGTAGACTGGGAAAGATCGAGAGGGAGCTGGATGAGCTTCATAAACACCCAGTCCAACCGCACCCATAGCAGCCATGGTGAGGATATCGAGCCAAGTGACTTTAAGCCATTGACCGAAACTTGGACGCTTGTTCATGGGAAGAACCAATGGTCCTTCGCCATGATGTTTACTCTCATGAGTCGCTACATTTGCTCCAGGTCCAGCAGTAGCAGGTGCCTGCTGTTTGCGTGAGAACATGCCCATTTTTTAGATGGTACCTTCGTGAGTAGGTGGGATGAAACTGAGTAATGAATAACTCAATCACTTGAAGAGCAACGAATACTCTGATGAAGTCGAGTGAGGTCAACAAGAATAGAGATTGAAATGAAGATATCACTAAGGAATCCAAGACATTTAGTAGAAGGAAAGTTCAAACTTTAATACCCTTTCCTTTCTACCTGACCTACCTGCTTGAGACTTCGTACCTTGATTTTCTTTTTTTCTTCTAACATTCAATAAAGGAATGACCACACCACGAATCCCGCCAATACCAACCAGTTATCAATGTTTACCAAAATGTACGTTAATACTCCTGTGGTTACGCCAGAATAATTCCCTAGTTCCCGCTAGTAGAAATAACATGGAGAAGCTTAGAGGATATCCGCGAAAATTGAATCATCTAAATCGTGTGATTGGTTCATTGAGCTGCACGGATGATGACGTCAGCTTCCCTTAGCCACACTTTCAGCAAGAACAGTCTTCTAGGCGCCTCCACGTAATCAAAAATCAAGGAAATAGTAATATTTGGACCTGCTCGAGCCACTTTCGCATAAAAATGAAAAATGAAATGCCATATTACATACGCCAAGATGGTCTAAGGAGATTCTAATTTGCGTGTTTCTGATTTTCATCACATTTCTAGATTCCGTCCGGTTGTTTGTTTGCCTTGTTCCTTCAATTTGCGTACGACAAGTTACAACATTTGGATCAGTCTCTTGTTTTTACCTCTGGTCTAATATTCTTAACTTCTTGGCGGCGACGGGAGCTTGATTGTGTTGGCAAAAGCTTGTTGTATTTACTAAACCTTGTGATAAAGGTGCGTTTGCTCCGGTCTCGTACTAGGTAATCTAATTCTTATTTGCACGACTCGTTTGAACTTGACATGTCAGGCGTAATTCCTGTGGCTAGGATCCACGTCACTGATACAATTGTTCTGATCGAGATCCTTCGAAACTCATTGCACATCTTTCGTCTGAGTGTTGCTTTTTGGGCAATTGGATAGTTCACCAACCTTTCTCAATTTCTTTATGAATAAAATCTCTACTGATATTTAGTGGATATTTAGTGCTCCCAAAACTGCTTTCATTTGATATCTTACTACTCTAACATCTGCAACATTGCGAGAGAACATGCATCAATACGTCGCTACCACGCGCTCAATAAAAACATGTTTCGCTTTAAGCTAACCCAGCAACATCCCAAACCTTCAAAGAAGCATCTCCACCTACAGAAGCGACTTTCTTTCCACCATCAACCCAACGAACACCGGTAACACCATCTTTATGCGCATTGGGAGCTTTGACTCTCTTTCCTGGCGACGCAAGACTCCAAACGAAAACATTCGTATCAAGACTGCCACTCACGGCATGGGTTCCAGCTTCATTCCAATCTGCGAAGAAATGTTAGTTGTGCGACATCGAAAAAAAAAATTGGAATAGAGCTTTGGGTATAAGATTTAAGGCATCTTGTGAAAGAGAAAGAAAAAAAAGGGCCCACCAATGCTGGTTATTCTTGCCGTGTGGCCACCCCATCTATCCGTCTTGATCTCCCAATTTGATGTATCATAAACATGAATCTTGCCTGATGAATTTCCTACCGCAAGAAGATCTCCACTAGGTGAAAATTCCAATGCGGAGATTACAGCTAGAGATTTTGTAAGTTCTGTTTTGGGAGATAAATTGTTTCCATCAACGTTGTATACATGTACAACATTGCGATCATCTCCTACCGCTACAATGTCTCCGTTTGCTGTAATAGATGTTGGTGTGAAGTCCTTGGTTGCCACGGTATTCACGAGGCTACCTCCAGAGAAGATATCGATGCCGTTTGTAGTAGCAACATACAATTTGTCGTCCACAGCTGCTACTCCTTTAGGTTGACCATTCAACTTAGCTGCCTCACCAACGAAAGTGTTTTGAGGAACGTCAATAGTTCGTAAAGTATCATCCCAGGCAACACTATAAGATTTATCTCCAGCGCTGGCCCAACTAGATACTTGATTGGTATGCGAAGAACCTTCAGTAGCCGAGCCAACACCAGTGCCGACATCCCAGGAGACGACTCGACCATCGAAACTACCTGTCCACAATGTTTGACCTTTCTCCGTGTGTGCTGAGCCAATAGCTGTAATAGCTTTGCCATGTCCTTGGACAATCTTTGTTGGTTTATCCGTTCCTTCAGATAAATAATTTAGATCTCCAGCCAAGTTCAAACTGATGATCATTCCGTCGCTGCGAGAAGGCCAGACAACACCAACCTGGTGATCAGGAATGCTTACATTTCCTTCCCCACCAAATCTCCAAGTTTGAACAGCCTTACCAGCTTCGACATCCCATAGCTTGACAGTCTGGTCAGCGCTGGCTGTAACCAATCTCTTCGAGTCTTTCGCCCATGAGACACTGAATATACTTCCTGTATGCTCTCCTTCTCCAAAGCTTGCCTTGGTATCACCAGTCTTTCCGTCATATAATTGAATTTTGCGATCCGCTCCGACACTTACGAGGTGGTTTCCGTCCGGCGAAAACCCTACTCCGTAAATGTAACCTTTATGTAGCTCTCCTAACTTGGCATTGAATTTGAAAGGAGCTCCATGGAGGAACACCATGCTCATATCATCAGACCCAGTAGCTGCCCTGAGTGGTCTTTGCTGACGAATTGCAACTGAATTGATAACCGAAGTATGTCCAACAATTTCTCCCACAGTGTTTCCACTATCCGCAGTTATACAAGCTCCAAATCGTTCTCGACCATCTCCCACTGCAATGATACGTTGAGAATCTCCATCCCAAGCAATATCATTAATTCTGCCATTTATAATATGATAATCTCCCTTGACGTTGACTCCTTCTATCGAGTCCCAGACCTTGACGCTTCCAGAGACATCACCACTAGCAATATAGTAACCGGAAGGAGAGAATCGAGCAACGGTGGTTTGAGTTGTGTGATTTGTGAATTGTTTACTTAATGAAGGATCATCGATATTACGAACGAAAACTGATTTACCAGACTAGAAATAAGAGTCAGCACTTGTGTATTAATACTTCGAGATGTACACGTACGGCATAAGCAATACGCTCCCCCTTTGGATCACAACTTAGCTGTGTCGGACGACCACGTTGAGTGTCTGGGGAAGCAGCAAGGATTTTGTCAATAGTGATAGACATCTTTCTTTAGCTCGACGTCAGTATCAAAAGGGTTGGGAAGCTTCTGGAATTGTCAATAGTGTTTGTAAAATCAAGGTATTCTACAAGGGAGGTTATGGTTTATTTAATGGTTTCAAGAACCTTGAGGTCCACGATGAAGTAAGGCTGAGGGGCAGACATTAGTGGGGTTGCCCTTGCCGTTTTGGCTATCGTAGATCTCAGCCACAATTAAATCTAGCAGGCTCCAGCCTTATGCACTCATCTGGGTTTCACGAATGAATGTCATCAATAACGTCAAATGTTAGGCAACAGAGAATTGGATTTATATAAAATGATGATACTATTCAATTTCTCATCCCAAGTGGATAGTCATCACTTCTGGCTGAGTTTATGAAGGAATATACATTTTAATCATCTCAAGCCCATTCTAATCTCCTGACCTACTTTCATCTAAAAAAAATCTTGCCAAACTCAAGATACAAGAGTAGCAATTTAGATCTATACTCAGATAGATATCAAGCAAGATGTTTGTGACGTATGATCCGGACGGAGATCTGGTCCTACTTCTCACCCGAGTGGTAGAGCTGGGAGACACAAATGAAGGAGAGAACCTGGGAGATTCAGCAAAGACAACAACAGAATCACGAGACTACTCGGAGGAGAACGATTCAACGGATGAACCAAGCGCTAGCAACGAAGATGTACAGATGTTAGTCTCATCCAAGCACATGTGTCTTGCTTCTCCTGTATTCAAAGCCATGCTTCAACACAGCAACTTCAAAGAAGGCCGGGAACTAGCTTCTGCTGGCAAAATTGAGATTTCCTTGCCTGACGATGACCCTGACGCTTTTGCAATATTGATGTGCATTATTCATGGTCGGACAAGGAACGTTCCTCGTGAAATCGATTTAGATCTCTTATCGAGAATCTCTACCCTGGTCGATAAGTATCAATTACATGAGGTAGTTGAAATTATGTCTGATAGATGGATATCATTGCTTGAAGCCGAGTTGCCAGAGGAATTTACCGACGATTTACTTCCATGGCTTAGTATCTCTTGGGTATTTGAAAAGCCAAGTATCTTTAAAGAAGTTACTCGAATTGCAGAACGACAAAGTAATGGTAAGATTGGTGAAGAAAGAGATGATATTCCAATACCAAATCGAGTTCTTGGTAAGATAGATTTTGCCCTTTTCCCTGAAGTTTTGAAGACATGACATGACTAACACTAGTGAAGATGCAATCCAGGAACGAAGATTGACTGCAATAACCGACGCCTATTTGATAGTCGAAACAATAGTCAATACCGGTAAACATCATTGCACCGCACCCCGTAAAGATTCCTTCGAATGTAGTGGCATGGTCCTTGGAACGCTCCTCCAGAGCTCTACCAAACTAGGCATATTTCCCGTGCCAGATCTCACTGACACCGATCTCACGTTCAACTATGTTGTTAACCAAATCCGCAAAGTGGAAGTGGTTGCTCTTTGCGATAAAATATCTCCATTCAAAGACTTTGAGTATCATCATTGGTCTACTCATGGTGTCAAACAGGCTATCGATACTGCACTGGCGAATCTTGAGAAGAGGCTATCTGGATTAGATATGGAGGATTTCAAGAAGGGGAAGAAAGTGCGGCCAGAGATTGAGCTATCAGCGAGAGCGAAGGCGAATAATTTGGACATGACACAGTTGTCGCTTACGCCTTCTTGATATCATAAATTTAGGAGTTCTCTGAAGAAAGCTTCTAGGAACGAGAAGATATACTTAATTACTAATCATTTGCCCACACTTCACTTTCGTTGTCACTCTCTTGCTCTCACTTCTTAACGAATACAGCCTACCAAATACTCAAATTAAAACCAATTATCAGAAGTTCAAAGAATAGGACTATACTTCTTCCTCGACTTTGCAATTCGATATCAGTTATCTCACTCGACGTTTACAAGTAACGATATCATATACACCACAACATCCTCGACTTTAGCTTTCTCGAAACTTATTTCTCTTTCGTATTACATCTACAGCTTTGCCGTCTTCGAAGACCCACAGAAGTCTTCATCTTAACAATTTTTTCGAATCTCTTGTCCTCTTTTCCATCAACAATCTCCGATCGACATCGAATAGCAATCCCAGTACGATGGCATCAGACACCGCCGACGTTTCAGAGAAGCTTGTCTTTGATACCAAAGGCAATGTCCTTCTTATCTTTACACGGAATTCTGAGGATAAAGAAGAAGGCAAAAACTCACTAAATGAGTCAACTTCGTTGAAGAGGAAAACGTATTCTTTCCTTTAAACTCTCTCTCATTGATTAAAGCTGACAGTACTGTCAGTCCCGATGATACCCCCAACAGCATCGCTATGCTTGTTTCCTCGAAACATTTAATACTTGCATCGCCTGTCTTCGACGCAATGATTGGCGATGCTAGATTTAAAGAAGGGGCAGCGTTACTCGCGTGTGGAAAGGTTGAAGTTAAGCTGCCTGATGACGATCCTGATGCATTCGCAATCGTAGCCAATGTTATCCACCATCGCAACAAAATGGTTCCCGAAAAAATCAGCTTTCAATTGTTCGTAAAAGTAGCAATCATTACAGAGAAATATCAAATATCTGGTGCGATGCGGTGGGTTTCAAAAGAATGGTTCGATAATTTGCCTTGCTCCATTCACAATAAACTCGGTAATCTATATGCGCTCATCTTCACGTCATTGGTCTTTGGCAACGCCTGCGTGTTCGAGAGGCACACGCGGAGGGCAATCTTGCACTCTAAAGGTAATTTTGGTGCTAATATAAAGGATGACTTCTACTTTCGTCCCTCAATCGTTGGTAAGTTTAGCAAGATTTAACTAACGCACCATCGACTAACTTGATACCAGATGCAATCAAGGCAGCCCGTACGCAAGCTTTGTCTGATATATTTGATGCGCTCAACAGTTTCATCAAGCGAGGAACTGAGCCTCTGGCATGTTGCGACGACCGACACGATATATGCGGTATCATGACTACTGGCTCTTTTCTAAGAAGTATTCATATTGATATAGGTTGGCCACTTCCTCCTGCGCCATATACCGGAACCAATCTCTTCAACCTTCACAAATGCGTCTCCAAACTCAGTATTCGAACTTTGTGTGCAGAAAGAACGAAACTCGGTGAACATGGAGGAACTTTAGTGCCTGGTCTAGGGTGCAAAAATCAGCAGATGTTCACAAAGATGATCGAGGTGCAGATCAAGGAGCTCGAAAGAAAAATTGTTGGTTTGGATATCGAAAAGTTCCAACGGAAAGTCCCAGCGAAAGGGGATTTGACATTTTGTGACTAGCTCTTGACATCAATAAACCGTGGCAAGGAGGTAGTGAAAAGAGCATTTACATGGTAGAATTCGATATGATATGGGTCTTCCTCTCGGTTCAACGAAATCCTGGTATCACATACACGGCATCCATCGCATGGGAACGAGTTGAGAGAAACATACAGCATCAGTTTACATCTATATTCACAGATAAAAGCTTGATCTATAGCGCCATGTCACTACTAGAACAGGATCAGCACATTGCATGGAAGGGAAGGAGAGTAGAATTCAAAACACACCGGGTATCAACTTTACAAATACGGCCTTGAGAATCATCACTTCTACCTCACGAATCTTCGTAGCTCTACCGTGGAACAACATTGCTGGGAACCATCATTGCACATTATTCATCCGGAAAACAATTTCACGCACAACACATCTTTACCAAAAGTCTTTACATCTCTCCATATTTTCTCCACTTCATACGCCAGATTAGAAAACGCAGCATATCTCTAAACACTGGGAGAATAATCTGAATCAGATTCGTCTCATATGAACTTGATCTGGAACATTTTCAATATCCTTACATAATTGCTTTCTATGCACCTGACTATATCTTTCTGGTAGCTTCGCGATGCTTTGCTCAACTAGTTATCAAGTATGTGATAGTAATACAACATCTTAATCTCAATTTTCTCTCCTCCTGTATCTTGAGGGCCTGAAATTTTATGATGTCGCCGTGATCGCCCATTTCTTATTGTTCTAATCCCTCATACTAACTTGGCTACTCATTTAGTATTCTGAAATGCATACACATGTAGTTTCATATGTGACTTCATCAATGTTCTAGTATCCAGTCCAGGAGTAGACGCCCATGAGACGACCAAATTCACACACAGATCTCAATCACCATGAAGCGACATTCCAGGCTATTGCATTTTCATTTTCAACTCGTAATCTACAGCCTAGTAAAACCCTCCTCAGGTGGTTGCAACCAATTCCTCTCATCATACACATTCTCCCCCTCAATAACATGAAACGTGTAAATAATTCTCCCCTTTTCGCTCGTATTCCTCTCACTCTTATGCAACAAATTTCCATGAATAAGCACCAAATCTCCCGCCTTAACTTCACCCATTACATAACTGCCATTCTTTTCATCTCCCTCTTTCTCTCTCTTCTCTGAACCTCTCGGGAAAATCTCCCCCTCATTCTCCACAAACTCCGTCCCCGCACCATCTTTCCTCCTCACAAACCTCTTCCCCACCCCCTCCCACTTATGACTCCCAGGCCAAAAACTCAAACATCCATTTTCCCTCGTCGCATCTTCGAGCGCGTACCAAAATCCTACTGCACTCGGTGGGTCGGTATATAAAAATGTGGAATCTTGATGAGGAGGGACTGCGCCGCCAATTTCGGGATTCTTGCAAATTATCATTGATTGCAAACATTTGGGTTGTTTGAAACCGAGGGACTGCGCGATGAGAGAGGGAGAGTGAGTGGCATTTGGAGAGAGAAGCGCGGCGAAAGAGGGCGAGAGTGAATGGAGGGCGTGCCCGATTTTGTTTATGGAGAGGTGTTTGGGTTTTAGGAGTTCGCCTTTTGGGGAGAGTGCGTCTATTTTCTCCGGTGTTAGTAATTTATAGCGAAGATTCAATTGAATCCAACAAGGTTGTATGAATCAAAAAAAGTACATAAAGTGAACAATTCATGATCCAAAATACGAGCAAACATACCTTCTTCAAAGAAAAATCGTATCTTATCACCACTCTCTAAGAAATAGCTATCGCCAACATGTTCAACGTCATCTCCTTCTCCAGTACTAAACTTCGTCATAGGATGATCGTCCAGCGAGAAATTGTTCAACATAGAATGAGTTTCGGATAGTAAGGAGGAAACTGTTTCTTGGGAGAGAGCTCTTGGGATTATCAGATAGCCATCTTTGTTAAAGGTGTCGAGCTGCTCCTTGGTGAGGCCTTTAGAAGCAGTAGGAGGCGACGATGTACGAGAGGGAGACATTTTTGCTTTGAATTGAGGGAATTCCTATTATTGAGAGAGTTGAAGGTATAAAAGTAAAGCTAGTTGTGGAGTTTAAGGAAATGGATTCTCTTATCGAATGACCCCTCACTCGATAAGCCTACCTGGATCGAATTATTTCGGAATTGCCCGAATGGCTCGTTTGCTAGAGTATACTTTCCAATTGTCGAGAGCAGCAATCTGGTCTGGTATCTGCATCCTGCAAGATCTACAGCACCGGTAGCTGGTGATATGAGGGCATCTTTTGTATGGAAAAATAGAAAACCCGCGGGATGTATCAACCAAGTCCCAAAAGGAATAACGTTTACAGAAAATGACCACAATACATTCTAACTCGCATTGGAAAATTAAGAGCACCTGGAGGCAATCACAAAATACCATCATGTTTCAACATCATATACCGTTTTTCTCTTCTAACGATAACAAACACGTTTGTAATACAAATCCCGATGTCTCGAGTGATGTTGGCTTGAATAGTGAGTGCGTGGCAAAACGAGATCGTGAGCAAATCATCTTTCCGGCCTCCTGAGAAGGAGAAAAATAACTTATGATGCACAGGATTCAAAAAAAAACAGTTGGTCGCTGAGGGGTTCGAACCCTCGCATCTCTCGATAATGGTGTTTTCAGCCTCCTAGAAGGTGTCTTAAAACCATCGCCTTAGACCACTCGGCCAAACGACCTATGTTGTGGTGAATTCAGATTTAAATCTGTTATTTAAACTAACAAAATCACATGACAGAACTTTTCCACGCTTAACCTCATTCGAAAAAAATAATTAATCTTAGTGATGATAGCTATCCCACTTAAAGATTCCTGCCCCTCCAAAAATCTGCTTTTCATCCATTGAATCTTTCACGGATTCTCAACTTTTGCGAAAGCTCGAGCGAAATGTTTTGATGCGGGGCAAAAAAGGGACTAGTATTGAAGCACCCCGTTGATATTACAATCATTGATACTATCCCAATCTTAAGGTCGAGGATTTTCCTGTCCTGTGTGAGCCAGATAGAACTTCGATATTTAAATTGTTCCTATCTTCATTGCTTCTATCCACCCACTTATGGGCACCTCACTGAGGATACCATCTCTCAAAAGTACATCGTTGTGGCTCTCAACCAACGTTCTTGATTCTATGGTGCGTTATTCGAACTATCGAAATGAGTGAACACATATACTTGTGACTATCTAGTGTTTCAAGAAGAGCCATATATGCGTGTACTTCAACTTAATGGATGATATAGTTGCCATTTGGAAATCACATCCAATCTCTCGGAACTAATTTGATTCCCTAGATCGGTACAGTAGCATTTACCGAACTGGAAAGACATTCTTCCAAAGGCTCGAAGATCCATTAAGACAATCCTCAAGGCAAATTGGCCATCAATTAGTCCTGAAGCTACCTGGGGTCGTCAAACAAGATTGCTGAAATCGAGCTATCATCTGGAGTCTCACAGCACACTTGCTTGATCTTCTTGTATGTTTCCTCGTACACTCTACTTTGTGTTTTGTATGCGCCAATGTGAATCACACCACGCCTTTCTTAGTTGCTTACGTGCCTTTCCTCAGAATATGATTCTCCTTGAGAGATGAAGCCGTTCATGAAGTCATAAATTATTCTTCCTGTATTCTTTGAAAGATCTGAATTTTGGGCTCGCTATATTTCTTTGGTCGTTGGAACTTTGCACTCCGCTGTTCAAGCTAGCATGATCGCGAAGTCGGAGCAGCTCAAGACAAAGAGAAAGTTTTTTGAGAAAAATGTAGAAGAATCACTTTCTAGAATATCACTAGTCGGTGATATTTTTAAATATCAGTAAGTTTCTGATTGGTTTGATCTTGAATGGTGTTTGGTATTGAAGCAATGCTACACTCGAGACGATCGTTGACTCTTCCTCAGTGGGTTAACTTTTAAATGAGTAATGCCTGATTGTTGGGTGTATGTTATTGCGTAGTCATCATGTTTCCTTGCTATAATGCATAAGAAGAGGCTTCTCTAACCCAGGTCGCTTTGGGATTGGAATATAAAATACCTCATGGGTACAAATATCGCATAAATATAAACTGCGATCTCCATTTACTTAAGCTGTGGTGTTTACCGGATTTGCTAAGCCCAAGTCCTTCCGAATTTCCAACATTTTAGTTCATGGAGTGCCTCATATCTGCGATTGTTCATCATGGCACTGATTGCATTGTGTACCCTATGGCGGTCTTTGCTTTGATATTTCGTGGTATTGGCGAAACATGCCATTGCGGTGCTATCCGTTGCTGAATCAAAATAGCTTTTCGATGTCTGATTTCTTCAAAGAACTCGATTTTGGTGAGAGTTCATACGTATATACATACTGGACTGACTTACCTACAAATTTTTTGATTATAATATTCTGTGAATCAATGACTGAATAGGTCTAATTCTCAGCTAATCTGTCCAAATTTTGATTTGAAAGATGGCCGTTACTCCAATCCAGTCCCTCGTCTCAAGTCTACCCCCAGAGGTTCTTGCAAAGATCCCAGCTATCGCTGCTCCCCTCGGTGTCACCTCAAACTTGGTCAATCCAACAAGTAGAGGGTAGGTACTTGCCATTGTCAGTTCTGTATTGGCTGGCATTATGATAATATGTTACACTATTCGAGTTTATACACGATTGGCAATTCAGCGAAAAGTGACATGGTGTGATTGTTAGTCGCTCGTTGTCATTTCAAACATGCATTCAAACTAACTATATGTTAGTCACTCTACTTATAGGTTTCGTACGTATTATTCCTTTGGTCGTTTGGGTCCGGTATTGATTTACTAGTAGCCTAGCGCTTTGGTGGTCTATATCGATGTTCTAATATGTACGTATACCTACAATTATTACGCATGTATCAAGCATCAATTGATTATCCAAAAGCTGGCACTGGAGATTGTATTGTTGGTATTCATTCGTGGGATATCTCCTTATTGCGTCTATTCAGTCGGCGAAATTTGATAGTATGTATTCTTCTCCCCTTATCTACAACCCTTATGCTTTAAGATCAGTCCTCACATCAACCAGGCTCTTTACATAGGTACTTGGATGGTCTATTTTGCTCTAGGCTTCGTAAAGCTTTCTCTCTTTCTTATGTATCTTGAAATATTTGTAGGATTACAATGGATGAAAACTTGTGTATATATTGGTGCTATGCTTTCTTCCCTATTTTATCTCGCTATTACGGTCGGTCACTTTTGTCTGGCGACGCCTTTTAATGGCGAAACATGGAAATCACATATAGTCTCAGCCCGCACACTCAAAGCGATTACCTTTTCCGTTCCCACGGCCGCTGTGGGGTTGGCGATTGATGTTTATCTCTTCATCTTGCCGTTCATTGCTGTTATCAGATTGCATCTGCCAATGCGGAAGCGAATACCTGCTATGATGATGTTTAGTGTGGGATTACTGTGAGTGCAGCCCTACTATTCTAGATTCCATACCTGACATGTGAGTAATAACAGCGCCTGCATGGGATCTGCGTTGGGCATATATTACCGGGTGCGGTTTAATCGAACTGACGATATGGGTTAGAATCTTCTCAATTGCAATTGAGTATTGTGGGTATCTTCTTTCTATCCGAATAATCCGCTATAGAAGACGAAGCTAACAGGGAAAAAGTAATGTCGACCTAGATATCGGTATTATGTTATGCTGCTTTCTGGCCATGCGACTATTTCTCCGCACATACCGACACACGTTTTCAAGTGTAGCTGTCGCTCTCGCATCTTTTCTACGCTGTAGATTAGAACTATCAAAATCAAGCGCTCATATCACGATTTTTAAAGATGAATCAACCCAAGAATCTGCTATTACTAGACCAGCACCGATAAAAGCTCTGGGTCGTAATCTTTATCCAAATCTTGATGTGACGAGCCCTTCGGATTTTGAAGGTAGTGCCTTGAGCAGTAAATGTTGTAATGGCTTGAGCACAAAATCGGCTGGCGAAAATGCTTTTCCCATCGCTACTCATGAGCTTCGCCACTAGGCCTAAAATTGATGTTCGAATGAGCAAAGAGGAGAGTTAGCATTTACGGAGGAAGATAGTTAGTTAGATGAATATCAATCCTGTTTTGAATGGCCAGGATGAGGTTATACACCAGAAGAGGAAAAAAAAACAGATGGCATGTTCATTTAAAATATGGTTTCCAGAAGTTATCATGCAAGAGCAGAGTGGACTTACTAGAACGTGAAGTTTTGGCCTTAGAAGAAAAAGCACGTTCGACTTGGAAATTTAGAGGCACAGAAGTATTGTGATATATAATATTTGAAGAGAGTAATAGAGAATGTTGAACAGCCATGTAATAATATGAAGAAACAAAGCTGACTGCCTACTATGACTGTTTCCCACTGATGTTGAAGTGACTATTCTTCCGCCTGGTACCGACACGAATAAAGCAGGTTTCCTCAACGAAAGCCTTTTGCACATCATCACATCTCTTTGAGATCTGCTCTCATACAACCAGAATCCCTCAACATGACACCAATGGGTAATTGAGACAATAAGGACATCTGAGAAGAATCAAAGACACCAGGCTTTTCCTCTACTATTTGATACCCACAAGCCTACTTTCTCCTGACAAAGACACATTGTCATTCAACGAGACAACCAGAAAACCTTAAACAGAGCGAATGAAGCAAAGAGATCATAGCTGTGAAAGAGAGCGGTGATTTGCAAAAGTACCGGGCTCAAAAGGAGCCGTGTTGCGAAGTGTGATGCAATGAATGGGCAGGCAGTCCTTTTTTCAAGATTCGTAAAAGCTAGGGAGCACGAAGAAGTTTATGAGGGTGGGATTGCTGTAAAAAGGATGCTGCTGTGAGATAAGGACAGGAACACAATCCAATGTTTTGACCTGATGTGGGTGAGATGATAAATCGTGATATTGCGCTCTTTCCAATAATTTGTTGTTGTGCAAGAGATGTCCTCAGTCTATGGCTCATTCTCAGTGGAATCGAATAGAGAATGAGTAATCTCATACTACCTGCTAGAGACTCACTTAGTCACCCGCTCTTCTCCAAAAATCGCTATCGTTATCAATGTCATAATTATCGACGCTATAATTATCATCAAAATCATCATCGTCCTGAGGAGGATCAAGCCATTGATAAATGTCGTTGGGATCGTCATCCGATTTTGGGTTTTCCGTAGTTTTGATAGTCCATCCGTGATTCATCATTTCCCTCCTGATATAATCACTCGGTCCCTCCTCATACAAGTTGACAGTAATATTTTGTAGGGACGGAATGGCTCTGAAGTGAGAATCAACTAAAGCCAAAGCCTCCGCAACAACATTGAGATTATCAAGCTCATCGAGCCTAGTTTGCCAAGCATTGGTGCTTTCTAAATCGGTTTCAAGCGTAATCAAACTGGTACAGTCGTTTTGGATTTTCAACAAGCCCTGAGAGTCGTTAACTTCAAGCTCAACATTTGAGGGTTCCAGATCGTAGAATGCGGGAAAGGTGATAGCAATACGTCGTAAAGAGCTGGCATTAATAGGACCAATCTTGTTGAGAAAACCTTGAGCATTCCAAAGGTCGAATTCGAAAATATTCTGCGCGTAAAATACTGATGTGGCTTCGCCGTGGATAGTCCTACATGTGAAAAGTAGGCCCTGAGTCAGGTTCCTGGGTAGGAATCGCAGCTGGGAGTCTATATCGATAGAGGATTCACACACCAAGAGCTCCTCATATATCTTGTTGCGAAGCTCCCTGGGGAGGCTGAGAATGTTGGCCGTCATTTCAGAAGCGGTAGCGGTGTGTGTTTGAGGCCTCCTGCGCTCACTGTGACACGCAATCGAGATTCTTTTTCTCACGAGCTGTCAATTGCAGACACGATGTAGAGTCGACTGATGCCAAATATTTTGTTGGGAAGTTGATTGCCAGGTCAGAGTTGAGGAGAAAACCACTCCATTACCTTTCCACCGCTTAAGAAAACAAACAAGCAGTCAGCGTTGCATCAGCCACAAGCCTCACTTCTTGTACGACCTCATCCTGTACAACCAACCCGACTTGTCTGAATTCATTAGCTTATCTATCCTAATGGCCTGTCCGTCCTTGTATCATCACACAACTTTGCGGTTACTATTCAAGGCACACGTTAACAAGCACCAAGTAACACTTTCCATGCATTAACCCGTAACCTCGGGATCTTTCATTACCTCCTTTCTCTATCTGCCCCAAGTTATCGTGATCGCAAGCCCGCAAGCCAGGAAAAGAAAACTTATATCCCATTCCGTGGCTGTGAAGTTGTCTAACCTACCTAGCCTATGTGCACATTTCTTAGAGACGATTGAAGAGAGCCGAGGAGCAATACTTGTGCTAATTCGTAAAAATATAAGAGATGCTAATTACTAAAAGGAAAGGCCGAGGCTATCTGCCCATCAAGCCAGATGTTCCAATGATTGGCCTTCCATCTCTTGAAAATCTCAGTATGGTAACCTTATATGATGAGCGACGAGTAACTGCATATGTCAACGAGCCTCTAGATAAGCTTCGGCGCTATCATGGATTCAAGGCATGAGCTAATGCAAGGAACTGAGATATAATTAAGATGAGAAGCATGCTTTCATTGACCTAACTCCTAATTTGTAACCATCAATTCATATTAATCCAACCAAATTCAGTCCATCAATCGTATACGCATAGATTCATACAGCCGCTCTCAAAATGCTCAAATGCGATCCACCCAAATCAAGAGCCCTTGGGAAGTCTTTTTTACAGACATTCCATGTTGTTGCCAAAAGTATAGATACCGAGAGAATTAAATTCGAAACGTCATGGCCATGTCAATGTATCACGACTTTGTTGCAGATTTGCCCGGTTTAAAATTATGCGGAGATTCCTCCGGAGCGCTCACTTGGGATGAGTTCGTAGCCATCTTCAGGGGCGAGGGCAAATGCAGAGATAGCAATACCTGCAGCGGACGCGATCGAGAGACACCAACTAATAGTGCAGAAAATCCATCCTTTGTCCAGCTTCCAGCCTGGGAAGAATTGCTCATCATGGTCATATAGATATGCCTACTAACGGTCAGTATCATCTCGCCTCTCGTCCATCAATTTCCAAAACAAGCACAACATACCACAATACTCATACTAGCTGCTTCAACTATACCCACCAAGACCAGCAAGAAAGCTAGTATTTTCCAGCCCGTTTCTCTCTTCTGCTTGCCACCGAATAAGACAACTACATATGCCACCAATGTAACCAATTCTACCACAGCCGCAAAAGACATGAGAAATCCTACGGATCGCCACATGGAACAGAATCCCCTGTCTGGACCTGCACAATCTTCCGATGTAGGGAAATGAGAAGAGTGGCCTGTGAGCGAACTATAGCTGCGATGAAGTCCTATCGATTTCGTTACATGATTACCGTTAGGTGTCGTTACATCCCACGTAATCCAATCAGGTATGAAGATCGATACAAAAGTCATTGTTGTCGCTATACAACTCAAATGATCAGCTATTGTACTATGATGCTTTGGCAGAAGATGGCGAAATCAACTCAGAGGTTAGATTCTGGTCAAGATAACTGCCATGATACCGACAAATATAAATGATGCAGAGAATAACATACCAGCGATAAACACTGCGAGAGCGACACTGTAAACATAAACTCTCGTCATGGTGCTGTAAATATACCCAAGATTACTTTCGCAAACTTCCTAAATTCCCACCTCTCCTTCGATCCAAATATTTGTTCCCGTCTCGCCTTCAGGTACTTGATATCGAAGGATCAGTTTTGCTCTTGAAGAAATGTAAAGATAAGAGACGACGAAAGTCTCTAAAGAAAAGAGATTGGGAATGAGGGGTTCGAGTCGTTGTAATTGAATCAATATGGGTCTTCGAAGGAAGGTTGCGTAGTAGACCTATGCATGCAAAGCACAAACCTGTTGGCCTGGCCTGCCTGCCCTGCCTAATCGAGTGATTCGCTGATATTAAATAAAGCTTCCTCCAAGTCATCTATCGCCCAAACGTTCAACAAATGGCGGTGAACGACTGTTTCGGAGAGAGATCCGATTCCTTCAATTATAATTACCTATATCACGTCTCAAAATTTCAAGTAGATAGATAGATGGTCTCTGTGTATGTTTGAAGTGATGAGATTCTTTAACTTTAGGAGAGGTGGGAGGAAATGTCCAAACATGTCATAATGATTAACTTTATTAGTTAGACTCTAAAGAGTGGAGTGGAATGTCGATATGACGTTGGAGATTTAACGAGTTCGTCCTAATGGGGGGCTCCGGAAAATTCGACAGATTTTAATCACGAGGACTGATATTTAGATATGGCTGCATACAATTGCATACAATTGCATACAAGGTACAGTAATTAGTATCACATTATTACTACCTAGGTAAGTACTGATAAGAAGCAATTTTGTATGAGAATTGTTAAATTATTGGTGATAAAAGAACAATTGGCATTTGATGCCATGTCTTTTATTTGGGTATCTCAATTAACAATATCAAGGCTGATTTGGATATCGGAGAAAGTGTAACTACTGAACAGCCATCGCCATGTATTATTTGCTCAGCCATCCCTGATTGGCCATCCGAAAAGAAATCACGAAACCGACTTGGACGTTTTTATGTCCTCCAACTGGGTTATCGAATATGCAGTTGATATTTGTAGTTTGTAGGCAAGAAACATTGAAACGATTTGTAAGTCTTGCACCCACATCAGTTCTCAAACCATCCTTTTGGACAACCATCATAATGAGAGGTAAAATGTGATCAATACCACTGACTCAATATTGGATCCCGTCCTCACTCACTGTCCTCACTTTCGCTGCTGCTCGACCCGTCTTCACTGGATGAATCCTCATCATCACTTCCCGAACTAGATGAGCTGCTTGATGAACTGGAAGATGTATCATCTTTGTTCTTACCGCCTACCATTGACTCATCATCTGAGCTGCTATCATCAGAATCACTACTTGAATCTGAGTCAGAAGAGCTTGAATCATCAGCGGCAAGTGTCCGTTGCTTTCTTTTCCTCCCGATCTTCTGCGGGGTGCCGTCATTCAATCGCAACCTCTTTTCTCCGTCCGTTGCTACAGATTCTGTTTCTGTGGCTTGCGTATCCGTCGTTTCTTCGGAAGACGAAGAGCCCAATTCAGCAAGAATTTGTTCGGCTCTCATTCTTTTGGCCATTCTGGGAGCCATTGCTGCGTCCGACAATCCCATAATTACACCTTCTTCATACCCCATTCGCGACGATGCCCCACCGGCAGTCATTGATGCAACATATTCGTTGATCGCAAGATCGTACTCTCGTTGTCTTTTGCTACTGTCTGCCATGGTTGCTGGAAATCCAGAAGTGTCAGACTCTCGATCTTTCACCTTAATAGCTAATGCTTCGTCTCGAAGTCTTTTTCTGACGCCTCCCTGCAAACCTCTGACGTACTCGTAGAGAAGATGGACGTGATCGGAAGGGACGACCTCAACGTTGAAAGCGTGCTTCAATAGGTGATTTTGGTGATTTTTGTTGAACTTCCACGTCTCCTTCGATTCGTGATACTGTCTTAAATACGCTAAGAATGGACGTGGGGCGGCATTTGGTTTGGAGACTTTCGACTTCTTCACAGACTTCTGGGGCTTCAAATCCTTCTCAGTGGTACCATTTTCGGGTTTGGCTTCCGAGTTTGTCTTCTTGACTCTTTTCACTCTTCGTTCCTTTTCTGGGAGTGTAGTATCAAACTGTTCCTCGACTATAGGTGGTGCGGGTGTTGCAAAAGCTTGACTCGTAGAAGGGCCGTAGAAAAAGTCGTCTTGTGCTTTTTGATCGGCCACCCAACCTAAGTATAACTGTTTTATACTATCGCCATCTTGTGATTTTGTTTCTGGTGTGAATGTTACTGATTTTTTTAGTGCAGATTTTCTGGGTGTAGTAATGATTGAATCGGGAACGACCGATCGTTGTGGTTCAGAAGCAGGAGGATGAGAGTCGAGATTCTTCGGCTTTTTCGCAGACGTTTCGTGCTCAGACTCGATGTCTTCTCTTGGTCTTTTCTTATTTGCTATCTCGATTTCTCTAAGAGGTTCGGTAATTGAGGCTTGAATATTTGAATCCGAGGAATTTGGGGCCGATTTCAACTTTAAGCCTAATCGTTTCCATGAGGGAATTCGTGGCGCCCCTCCACTCGCGGAAGCTGAAGGTATCATGGCAAAGAACTCAAGAAATATAAGAATCTACCAGCTTACAGACACATGAGCTTAATCTATGCTTCGTAAGGCAAGCCTTGATGTTTGACAGAAAGTACAAAAAATTGACTCTCAGATTGATGTTGATGTGCAGGACCGCAAAGTAACTTTTTTTCTCTTGATAAGAATTCCCGCCGCTTTAATACCCGGCGCTAAACTATTTTGAACGATAGTCCAGGCTTCAAGCTTCCGCGTGTAAAGGTTAGATACCAATAGCTACTGTACATGACAACTTTGAAGCATCATAATTTCTTCCACGTCTTTATTTCCCACCTAAACAACCACGATACCTGTTGATTCCAATTTACAAGTAGCCATTGTCTTGAAATACCCCATCCTTCAAATTCAAATACCAAGTCGACTTCTCCAAAATGTCGGGTATGTTTGTTCTCGCGCGCCCACCTCTTGACAAGCTCCTCAAGAAGCTCAAGAAGCTTGAACTAACAATCCACTATAGGTAGCGCAGGTTACGACAGACATATCACGATCTTCTCTGATCAAGGAAGATTATACCAAGTCGGTACGCAGATCCAGACGCAAATAGAACCGTTAAAGCCATGGGATTCGTAGGATCTCAGCTTTATTGATCTATCACGACCCCAATCCAACATAACAGCATGCAATAACTTTATACTAACTGCTCTTGCGAGAATAGAGTATGCCTTTAAAGCTATCACCGCTGCGAACATTATGTCTGTAGGCATTCGAGGAAAGGATTGTGCCGTTGTTCTGTCTCAGAAGAAGGTTCCCGTACGACACACTGATCCAGATTCTATTTCAAGTTCAATACTAATACAATGGTGCTCCACATAGGATAAGCTCATTGATCCATCATCCGTCTCCCACATCTTCCAATTGTCACCATCCGTAGGATGCGTTATGACAGGTTCTATCGCAGATGCCAGAGCCTCTGTTCAAAGAGCTATTGGCGAGGCTGCCGAATTCAGATACAAGTTTGGATACGAGATGCCGTGTGATGCCCTGGCAAAGAGGATCGCCAATATCAGCCAAGTCTATACCCAAAGAGTAAGCTTACTTAATGAAACCTTTGTTGAATTGTTGGATGATACTGTATCTCTATTCATCTTGCTAACTTGATATTGTTTTTTTAGGCATACATGAGACCGTATGGTGTTGCAACCACGTTAATATCGTTGGATTCTGAATTTGGTCCTCAACTGTACAAATGTGACCCAGCTGGCTACTACACTGGTTACAAAGGAACAGCTTCGGGTCCAAAGCAACAGGAGGCGTTCAATCACCTGGAGAAAAAGCTCAAGAACAAGGATTGTGCAGAAGGTAGCTGGGAAGATGTAGTAGAATTAGGCATCACAACTTTGAGCACAGTTCTCAGCGTCGATTTCAAGAAAGGAGAATTGGAGATTGGTATTGTTGGGGGGCCAAGAAAGGATGGAAAGGAGGGTACAGATCCGGGCTTCAGGGCTTTGACTGAAGAGGAGATCGATGAGAGGTTACAGGCAATCGCAGAAAAAGATTAGTTGCCGATCATGAGTAAAGAGATGAGGCAACTATGAAATACGTTCGGTAAATCCGGCGAATGACTGATCAAGAAATACTATTGCTATGAAATTCAATTTATGATACCAATCTGCAGTTGATACCGAGCAATGGTATGTAGGCGAGAAAGCCACATATCTTTTGTCGTCTCGTTAATTTTGGTGCAACATGTGTACACCGCAGGGAAAAAAGAAACGAAACGGAAACATAGCCATATTGTGGCTTGACCACTGCTGGACTGAATAATAGACGACCCATGCCTTCGGTGACAGTGTCATGACAGTCTCGGATGATCTGACTAGATCCAGGAGAACATCACTTTACTGCAGCATCAATGATCTAGCATTACGCAGCCCTATCCGGAAATATAGTTTTGGGATTGATCGAATCATCAATCACCTCGCATCTCAAACAAAATACAAGACAGGGAATAGAAATTATTGAGTATTGAGGATCCCAAAAGAGTAGTGGGGTGGAGTCCCCAAATGGGTCTATTGGAGTTTTCCAGTTACGGATATGGAATATTGAGATGCGGTGATAGGAGTATCTCCCAAAGAAATCACATCTTGGTACTGGGTTAAGATCGTATGGCCCCCAGATGATCTGCTGTAGTCTGTGTTCAGGAGCTAGGAGATTCTCCTGGGTATGTGTATAGAATAGTATGGTGTGGTATGTAATAATACATATGCGTCGATATGGTTGGTACCTGGCGCAGTCACCGCTTGTCCAATGTGAGTGAGATGCTTTCTACAACTTCAGCTATAACGATATTATGATCTGGATCCAAGGTCTCCCATTGGTTGAAAAATTCGATGGCAATACACATTTGAGCCTTGAACTGACATGGTTTTTGCTCTGATGGCTTTTTTGTAAGATTATGAGTGGATTAGATGATTTGACGGGTCAAAACCTAGTGAAGGCTGAATATTTTATCCTTGTTCCCACGCGAGCGAACAGGTACCGAGGTGTAGCATCAATCTTTTTAGCTCATTTTTGACTTTGATTCCTTTACCAAGCAAACCCAAAAGGAATCCCAAATCATTATCCACATACCACGCACGCATACGGAAGTCACATAGATAGATTTGATTGCACATCACACAGGGGACCCATATCAATTACCCACAATCTACCTCTCATCTAATCCTCCCATCATCCTCCACCACTCGTTCCCACGTTTCAATCCCTACGCTCTTCCTCTAAGAATCTAAGATACACCCATTACACAATACTATTCCAAAACCTCTCTCAAACCATCTAATCTGAACCCTTGGACATATCGCAAATCGCTGCTGTCATGCATATCCTGAGAAGTACCACAATAGCTTAGTACCCTTGCATCCTTACATCCTTACAGCTCTGTAGGGTTTAAACTAGCTTTGAGCTCGTCACTCCCGTATCATTAGCATCGGACTTGGTTGTGGAGCACAAATGGCTTTCTATACAGTGAGAGTAACTCAATGGTATCTAATATTTCCAATGGAATCAAAGAACTGGCTTTGTCTGGCTGAGGTATCCTCCCGTTAGCCAGCCACGTTGAGACTCAAAGTGGATGATCAATTTTCAGAGTCAACGTCTTATCTAGTCATCTGTGATTTGAAAAGCTTCATAAACGGCCGAGATGGCTTCATCTTTCCAAGACATCAACGGCACAGTCTTTCATTCAGTTCCTCATTGTCTCCCGTCTCCACTTCATACCAGTTAGCAAGCCATTCTAGTGTCCATTCTCCCGTTATTTGAAGTTGCAGCAGTTTCAAACACTCAAACCTACATACACAATGGCCGATGGATGTAAGTCATTCATGTTCCTACCACACAAGACCGTTACTTGTGCTCGTCCTTACAGTGCATTCGGGACGGATGAGACTCAATTGATTTCAATCACTTACACATTCACTAGTGAACGATCAAAGAACTGCCCGGGTGGCAGATCTTCTCTCCGACTTCCGCACTCTTCAATACTACATCGCTGCTGCTCCTACCGACCCGTCAAACATGGATGATTACTACACTGAAGGATATGCCGCTCTTCGTCAATGCTCCTTAGATGGCCAGCATATCCTAAACTGTGCTGCTGAAACTCGAGTCCCACGAGTTCGCGGTGGTGCAGATGAGCAATCTAAAGCAGAATTGCAACAGTATGTCTCTCCCTACCATCAAACGACACGCTTGGGTCTTTCATGATTTTTCCAATACTAACAGTGAGAAGGGTACTCCTGGATGCGTTTTCTCGCCGTCACGAGGCTCAAAAGATCTACCTTCGCCAAGGTGCGGCACAGCGCTGGATCAGTTATAGAGATCAAGTGTTACAGGGCCAGAGACCTCATACCGGGCACACGGATCAATTGAACGCATGCGATGTGCAGCTGCGAGCAGTAAGTCAAAGGGGTTTTTTTTTCATTCCATTCTCCACTCCGAGCCTCCGAGCCGCTCCCCACTTCCGGTTCTTGTGCGAACGAGCAAGGATGCTGCCAACTTTTGATCATTTGGGATTATCGAATTTTACGCGTACTGATTTGGGAAATAGGAATTGGTATCAATCACAGATGAGGCTATCTACTCGGATCTCAGGTCGTCCGATTATGGCATGGGGCGCTGGACGCAAGAAGATCCGAGCTTGAGACATGTACAGAGATGGGTTAGGGCTAGACGTTAAGCTGTCAGTGTTCGGAATTGAAACACGTGGACGGGAAGAAGAGATGTGACTGCCGAGGTTGAGTCGGGAGAGGAGGGACAGCGCGAATCGGAGGAAAGGAGGGTTGTAATACTATTGTACACGAAGTTGGATTTGGTAATGTTTGATGGCTCTTATCGAATTGGGATTGTTTGGGCGACTGGACTGGACTGGATTGGCATGGTTTGGAATTTCTTTACACTTAAAACGGTTGGCGGTGGGCATGGAATGGCGCACACATCAGTTTTCCCCTGGCCCTGGCGGTTAGGTTTTCTTTGGCTACTTCCTTACTCATTATACGAGATTAGACGAGAGGTGGTTCGGGCTTAGAGCATAGAGCTGTGCTAGTGTGTCTAAAGTTAACTTATAAATCTCGAATCAAGGAATTGAGGCATTTCGAATCTTTATGTGACATTAGTGACATTTGCCTATTCAAACTCGCTAGTATCCAATATAATGGATCCTACTACGCTTTTTACATTAGTTTGTAAGCAGAAAGAATATACCAGCCTCGTACGGCGGCAAAATCAAATATGTATACAACTTCCAGAAACCTCACATGATCGATTCCTTCTTCCATACGATCCTTCCTCGATATCATTTATCGAATATCCAATCCCTCACTCCCGAGCATGTGATCCAAAAATAACTCCCAAGGACGGCTCATCCCGTCTTACTATGGACACAGAGCGCAATGCCACATAACGACAAGATCATACCAATCCAGGTATCTATCAATATATTAGCTCTCGTACTCGGGGTCCAAGCCACATTTCTTGACTATTTGCTCCGATCAACAGTATTGATGGGGAAGGGATGTAAGGGAAAGGGACGAGGGGAATTACCGCGACTGATTACTTTTCTCTCCACCCACCACTCTCCTAATACTGTGAAGAGGAAAGCCAGAGAATTTGTGATGGGGACTGTTAGGGAGAGTTCTACATATATCGTTAGCTTTATCTACGTCATCACGATAGGTACTCATATCACGCTTCTCCCCATCTTTTCTCCTTAGAGATCGACATGAACAAAAGAAGGAAAAACAAAACTCACCAGCCTGGCCGATTAATAAGAAAAACCAAATACTCCCCGTCAAATTGATCACCAAAGGAATGGCATATCTAGGGTTTCTCAAAAGATCCACGACTCCGAAGAAAGCGCCATATAGCTTAGATTTGACGAAAGATTTGGTAACCGAGGGGGACGAGAGAATGGGGTGAGACGGCGGTTGGTGAGTTCGCGCGGCGGCTCGGATGAATGGGGTTGTAAAGCCCCAGGCGACACCGATGAGTAGGAAGCCGATGATGTAGCGGAAGATTGATGGAGCGGAAGTGTCTGGTGGGGTGGAGGTCACTGGGTCGGACAAAAGTGTGGGGATGGGAGAGGGCGCGATGGAATACATGATGTGTTGATGTGTGATATGTGATGTGTGATGGGTTGAGGTAAGGGTGGAGTGGAGGTAGGTGGGCGATTGGTAGGGAGTGAAGAGTGGAAAGGTTGGTCAGGGGATTTTTAGGTTGTAATTGAAAGAGTGATGAAAGAGTGTTGTATAGATCTGTAGTAGATTTATTATTTCTTGATGATGTATGAGATATAGAGAGGATAAGATAAGAAAGGTAAAACCTAGTAGATCCCTAGATGGGTAACGCCCTGGTCGGTATTCGGGGATTAGGTAACCGAAGAATGCGGCGGTTAATTACCAATTACGAGTAACAGCCTTGCCGCAAGTTGCCGAATGGATAAGATTGCAGATGTTGATCAATGACAAGCAAACAAACAACGTGAACCCTTGATACGTACGATGAAAAATTATTCGGCCTCATCATTTTATAATTAAGACGAGACCATTATTGGGTGGTATAGATCTGAGAATAGAGCTAGAATCTCGGTACCTGCATCACCAGACTCCACCATCTCGAATGATTTTCCGATCGATAACACCATCATTTCGCCATCATCGGACATTTGGGTAGGTAGAGTTTGAGTGATAGTCACTCCAGCCACTCTCATTAGCCACTTGTGATGAGAATGTTCGTGACGCCCGCTGCCCAGGTGGCCACACATGAAGGGCCACACATGAAGGAAGGATGATAACCTTGGAAGGTTTCTATTTTTGTTCCTATTTTTGTTCCTTTTTTTCTTCTCTCGGCCGATGGATGGATTAGATACCTGGATCGTAAGGGAACAAGGGAAAGCTTCGAACAGGGATTATATTTTATACATCCATCGTACAAAGAAAGGGCATCCTCCGTAGCAGAGGTGATTCTCAACAGGGATTGGAATTATGTACATACAAACATTATTAAACCTAGGTAGGTAAGGTCCCGATTTTCGTCATCAGCGTAAAATCAAATGTACGATAATACGATACGATACGATATGATATGTGTACCTGTATCTGTATCTGTATCTGTATCTGTATCTGTATCTGTATTTGGTTCCTGGGTAAATGGGAATGGGAATGGGAGAAGAGGGAGAATGGCAGAGTGTGATGTCAAAACTACCATAATAGCTATAGCTACCTACTTATTAGCTAATCAACCAATGTAAACAAAAACATGTCAAATGTCATTCATTAGCTAGCTAGCTACGAGTAGGTAGACATATACATACACATCCACATACATCCACATACATCCAATGGAATACATTCAAAACGCGTAATTCAATACACCGGCATCATATGTATTCAATTCGACTCAATGACTAATAAATTCAAATCTCTTTCTTTCTTTCTTTCTTTCTTTCTTAAAAAATCAATCCCTTGGTACACAAAGTAACGAGGGTAGCTGGAGGTATCCATTACAAGGATAACACCAGCCTTCACCATTCTTTCTCCACGATTTCAGCCACTCCCTTTAACACTTTCTCACGCCTGGCACACAGATGAAAGGTAACATTTTGAACAACTTTCGAATTAATCCACCCTAGACCCGCTTCATTGCAATCAAAACGGATCCGATTTCTCTTCTCTCAAATCAATTCTTGAATATTTCTGGAGTGTCAGCCCTTTTATGATTTATGCTGCATGGAACGGTCTGAGATGCGAGGGTTCTAACGCGATTTCGTACCTACTCGGCGTTCGACTTTAGAATATCAGTTGAGGATTTCCCAAATACAATGCTCAGCGAGAGCTGGTGAGGGAAGAAAGAAAGAAAGATAGAACGAAAGAAAGATAGAACGAAAGAAAGAATTTGGAAGTTATTATACACACTCGAGACCGAGATCAACTTTACATCTAGGAGAACACAACCTCAACCACGACCTCGACCTCGAGAATTATCACATAATAAATCATCATTGGATTATAATATAGTCTTACTCTCTTTTAAGCATTAATAATACCTTACTCTCTTTCTTCATCATGGCGACGAAACTCAAAATGGCGGGCATGCATACCGCTGGAATCTTCTCGGATATGACGGTTGATGGTCCAGTAATTGGTACTCTGGTTGTTATCGTTGATCGAGCCAAGAATTTACCAAACAGAAAGACAATTGGAAAACAAGATCCGTATTGTGCAGCTCGTCTGGGAAAGGAAGCAAAAAAAACGGAGACAGATAAGAGAGGTGGACAAACCCCTCGATGGTAAGTGCTCAATGAGGAGCTTATGTCTGTCTACTTCATTACTGACGAGGCTATCTAGGGATCAAGAGCTACGATTTACTGTTCACGATTCGCCGGATTACTATCAATTGAAGGTCTCAGTATTTAATGACGATAAGAGAACAGATTTGATAGGAGAGACCTGGGTAAACCTACAAGATGTCATTGTTGCAGGAGGGGGACAAAGTGATATATGGCATAACTTAAACTTCAAGGGGAAATATGCCGGAGAGATTAGAGTCGAGATCACATATTATGATAAAAGACCCAAACCAGAGAAACCAGAGAAGAAGGAACCCAAACAGAATTCATCGACAATTACTCCATCTACATCTGTGCAATCGATAACGGATTTCGGAAGTGTGGGTGGAAGCGGAAGTGGAAGTGGGAGTTTGAGAGAAGGAGTTGGTGGGCCAAGACAACTAGGGGTGAAACCAATTGTTAAGAGGCGGCCTCTACCAACCGATCCAATCACTGGAGCTCCTGCGCAACCTCCTGTGGCAGCACCCGCGCCAGCCCCGATCCCTGCTACGGTACCACATCCTGCGGAACTTGTTCATACTCCTCCACGAGGATATCAGGTCCCATCCACAGTAGATCATGTGCAAATGACCCCTACGCGTGGCTATAGAGACTCTCCTTCTGCGATACCAGATCATGTCCAAACTCCACCTCGAGGCTACCAAAACCCATCGACTGGAATACCAGATCACATTCAGACACTGCCGCAAGGATATAAGATGTCTCCGAATGGTATGCCAGATCATGTCCCTCGAGGATATGCCAATCCACCAGTAATTCAGGATCAACCTTCGCCTCGTGGATATCCAAGTTCTGGTGTCATGTCTGATCCAATGCAAGCGCAGCGTGGTTATCATTCTCCTGTTATTGGACAGGAGCACGCGCAAACGCCACCGCGTGGATATCAGAACGGATTTGCTCAGGATCAATCGCCTGGGCAAAGAGTGGAATACAACGCACCCTCAGCTCGATATAACCAAGTCCAAGGATATGATATTAGTCCAGGGGGGACCCCATACGGAGCACCTCAAGACATGATGGTTGCAGCACCACCAAGTTCCCAGTCAATGCGGAATAACGATAGATATGAGGTTCACGATCCAATGTTGAGAAACGATTATGAAAACGGTCATGATATGAATCAATATGCGGCCCATGAAGCGGATCGATATGGAGGCTCTCGTATGCTAACATATGAACCTCAGCAGCCAGGTCCATACGAACTTCCGATGAGCCCTGGTCCTCCGCCACCTCCCCCGGCTCATGCAAGCAGGCACGTGAGCTCGGTGCCAACTCTCGCGCAACCTAAGGCTGTTCATGGCCGTCCAGTCAGTCGAGGAAATTCTAATCCATACAACGCTTCCATGGATGATATGCACCGCCACTCATTGCCTGCTCATACACAGTCCACTTCACCATACCAGGCCTATAGCCCACCAAAGAACGATGATCAATTCCGAAGGTCTGGAAATGGCAACCCTTACCCACTCCGAAAGAACTCTTATGATTCGAGAGATTTGAGGTATAATGCCAGTTATGATGACATGCAGCCAACTGTCGAGGATGCCCCACCCACACCGGCTCCAGGACCAGGACCAAACAGTTATCAAACTGCTATACCGCATCGAGGAAGTGCACCAGGTGCTATGCAACACCCAGCTGAAGGGATGTATGACCAAGTACCGGCACCATTAAATTTACGGCATCGCCCTAGTCGCAATAGTATTGCAACAACTGCCCCGAGTCATCAATATTCGAATAGCTCAGGTGGCTATCCGACATCCAGTTCTATGTCTTCTGTCAGAGATGGCGCTTCTGTGACCTCAAGAAACTCTTATGGCCAGCTCCCATCATCCCGCCAAGACAGAAGCCAGTCCCTAGGTGTGCAGAATACTAATGGAGACTATGGTTTGCCTGAGATGCCACCAACTTTGGTGCCGGGAATGGATCCAATCATTGCAAAGGAAATCTCGGATCGGATTTATAACGAAAAACGAGCAAGTCATAGCCAAAACCCTGCATCTTCGCAGCGAGGAAGATATCAAGAGATTCCAAGACATCAGCCACAACAGATTCAACAGCCAATACCCCTTCCCTATCATGATAATTCGGCTGTTGTCCCATACTCACCACAGGCAGCATATGACGATCGCCAAAGTCGATATGCTGCATCTACGGCTATGGTTCCAGTAAAACCTAGGGGTACGTCGCCTAATCCTGCAATGGATAGACGAGGAAATTCGCCTAACCCTATGGATCGAAGAGGCGTATCTCCCAATCCAATGGATAGAAGAGGTGCATCTCCCAATCCACCCATGGATAGAAGAGGTGCTTCACCAAATCCTATCAACAGAAGAGGTACCTCTCCTAACCCAGCAGTCATGCGAAAACCGGTCAGTCCTGCTCCAGAGCCTCGAAGGTTATCAGGTATTGCATTCGGGCCAGATTCGTATGATGTTTTCAATCCAAGTCTGACAGGATCGAAATCTGCAACGTCTCTCAGCGCTGCTTATGATCCCAAAGATGATCCCGATGCCAAAATCATTACTTATGATGGTAGGGAGATTGATCCAAGTGATCACATTCCTGAATCTAATTATGCGCCACTCCTTGAACAAAAGGGACCGAAATACGCTTCACAAATGCCAGATCGCAATTATCGACCTCCACCAGCAGAACATCCAATGCCATCGAATGGCCGTAAGCAATTACGTCAAGCTGGAAGGCCTCAGTCAATGGCCGTCTCTTCCCCAATTTACTTCAGCGGCGGCATTCCTGATAACCCTCCAGCTACGGCTCATAGAAAACTCCAGAAGAAGTCAAACCGCATGTCGGCACAACCTGCATACCATTCATCCCCAAATGTACCGATCTACAAAGAACCAGCTTACGCATCTAGTAGAACGTCAATGCAGAGACCCTCAACGGCTGAATATTCTCATGACAGTTATCAGTCAAATGGTTATCAGTATGGAAGTAGCGCTGGAGGTGGATATAGAGGGGCAGTTGGGCCAGTCGTACCAGCAAAAATTCCAATGGCATTACCGGCTCCGGCTAGTAGTGGCGCAGGGAGAGGAGGTGGAGGCGGGGATGCGTGGGCGCTGTTAGAGGAAATGAAGAACATTGACTTAGGGGCCCCAAGTTCCAGAAGGAGAAGACATTGATAAGCAAATCTAAGCTCGAGAAGAGTATAGGCGACGATAGGTGGTGCGCAGGAAAGGGAGAAAACATAATGTGTTATATTTTTTTGTACGATTAAGATAGGATATATCCGGTGGCTGCTTGATTTCATATACCTTTTGCATTTTCTTGCATTCTTGATTATCGCACTCATCTTCTGCGTTGGATTTAGACTCTGGTATCTCAAGGGTCTTTTATCAAGGCTTTTATGGGTGTATAGCAGGCATGGCGTTTTTCTTTCGGCAATTGTGCTCTGTTAACATAGGTAAATGGAATGATGATGGGTAGAGAGCAGTGGGAGGGATAATGGGGAATTCAAAAGGCATTGGTTGGGAAAGGATGATGGAATGGGAACAGATGAGCCCTGCTCGGGTTTGGTGGGATAGGATGAATTGAGAAGGAATGGAGCTTTGGAGGATACATCAAAAATTGGGAGGTTAGGAAGGAAATAGGTGGAGGGGTAGAGGGAAGAAGGCAAGGACAAATGAAAACGCAAATGAATATGAATATGATATCAAATGTATACACAGCACCGGTCCGTGAATAATGTATGTGTAACAAGTGAGCAAGTCTAGGAATACATACATAAAATGGATCAGAGGATAGATATTTCAACGCTGGAAAGCTCTCATTTACTAGATACACAGGGGAATCTGGATAGATGGGCGTTTGGTGAGATGGGCTTTTGGGTGTCGTTGGGGGGTTTGAAGACTGGGGAGAGGGGGAGGGAAGGGGATGAGACAATGTGGGAGAAAGAGAAGGTGGAAAAAACCAGAGCCATAATTTAGGTACCTATGATGAAGTACACGCATGCACATTGAGAGTAAGGGGTGGGAAGAGAAAAACACAAATCAGACAAGTGTAAAAAAAGAATTGCATATTCATCATCCTATATCAACAGACCAACGCCACAAGCAGCCAATCTGCATTCCACCCATCCATCATTCATTGGTATCCTTATCGAGCCGTCCTAATATGACATACTATGCTACGCGAAAAGAGTCCATGGAAATACAATACGCCCCTCCTCTCTACGCATCTCTACTCGTTCTTCCAATACCGAGTACTGAAAACAACACAATTATCTTTCCCTGGCACTCGACTCGCCAGATCTCCCTTCTCTAGCTTTGCCCTTCCCCTTGTCTCTTTCTCGCTCCCTTTCTCGGGCACTCTTCCGCCTGACTCCCGTATATACATCATTAAAATTCATTACCACACCCAAGAACCTCATGTCTGTGTCTGGCTGATAAGCCAAATCGCCGAGCAATAGCGAAATCCTCGTTTTAAATTGCGTTCCCAACCCACTCAATCTCTCTGCTAGTAAGGGAAATTCTTCTTCTTCGCCTTGAATATTTGAAAGATTGAGATTTAGAAGTGCAGGATTAGGGTTCTCGAATGGAGATTTAGATGAAGGATAATCATCGAAGCGAGTTCCGGGTCGAGAGGAGGTAGATGTGCCTGGACGCGGGATGGATGGAGAATTGGCGTTTTGACGTTTTGAGTATTCGGTTACGCTGAAGGAATAAAGACCGTCAACTGCGTCGCGGTATGAGAGCATTAATCTAAGAATTTCGCCCAATTGAACCATGAACGTATTATCATCAAGATCATTTGAATGCTTTTTCTTGGCGCCTAGCAGACCTTTGTGTGTGATGGCATTGAGATATTTAGTATGCGCTTTGATAAGATCGTCAAGTGTGCAACCATCTTTGTGGATAGCGGATTGGAGCTCATCCCAAGAAGACTCGATAACTTCAAAGAGGATATAGTATTGTAGTTGTGCGATAAAATGAATCATCTCTGCAAGGACGCCGCGAGTTTGTTTCCATGATTGATGAAAGGCGGGATCAGGAGATCCAAGTAAGACGCCACGGGCGCCAGTCATGCATTTACGCCAAGTAGTCGACAAGGCAAATTCAACACGCTTGATGCGCCATAGGAAGTTGAATACTTTTAAGTATTGTCGATTACCCCATTCCGTTACAACGACATCGACAGGAGCATCAATTTTGTATTCAAGGGTGAAACAATCCCAACCTATATCACCGTGTGAAAGTTGTAACATACGAGCGTCGAGACGGCGGAGAACCTCGGGCGAATCGTATTGCGCATTAGAACCACGAATAGCGTGCTCAAGTTGAGCGGTGAGAGTATGACGATATTGAGCGCCTGCCGGACGATCAAGATTTGATGCAAGAGATTCCATGAGTAGAGCGATGAAATCTCCTTGCCCTAGGAGGATATAATTTTTAAGAGCCTTGAGGTGTTCGAACAGATGGAACTTCTCTGACATCAAGTGGATTAGTCGGGCCATGGTCGTCTTATAAGCCTCATCGATCCATGTCTCTAAAGTCGCAGTATCACCGTATCGTAGTTCTTTCGAAGCGTCTTTTGAGTACTCTTCCACCCATTGAGAATCCCCGCAACCATAACGGATAAAGTTCAGGGATTTACCAATTAGGAAGACCTTTTGAGCAAAGTCCTGGGTGATGATACTTGGTACCATATCTTCATTAAGTTTGTATTTGTCCTCCCATACACTGCTAGCACCTCCTCTACTTCTGCCATCTTGGGCTTCCTGAATCGCATTGGGATCCTGTTCCGAAACAAAAAATTCATGGTATGGATCGGATAATTCTCCATCATATATCCAATGTCGAAGCATGTCATAAAACGGCCGAGTGACATGACTCAACAATCGTTCGGCGAAAGCTCCTACCATTGGATCCCCATGCGATGATGAAAATCCATGGATCAACGTGATGAGCTGGCCACCCTTTTTGCTTTTTGATTCCTCACTAATCAGACTCATCAACCTCAAGCCCATCGTCGCTTCTCGGGTCCACACTACGCATCTTTTAAGAGTAACCCCTGCCTTTCCAACACCTCCTCTTGGCTCATTCTCGTCTAACGACGAAAGTGCTCGTCGGATTTGACCTTCTAGCGTTGCTACTAGTCCAAGATATGACCTAAGCTCTCCTGCAATAGCGGCTCGTAAACTCTGTCCTAGGAGGCCGCCATCGCTTGTCTGCACAAACCCAGATAAACTTCTGTATAATAGCGATGGCTCAGCTAATGTATGGAGAATGGAGATTATTGGCACAGGTAAAGTATCGGGGAGTCTGAGGCTTGATTGGGCATCAAATGGTAAATTCGAGGACGACAGGCCTTGTAATGTGAATGGCAAGTCCCTAAGTAGTGCGATTTCCGGGGGATCAATTTCGACGTAATTTTCTGCTAGTAGAGCCGTCTTCAATGCGACGCCCTCCCGCTGGCTACCTGGTGTCTTCGCAAATACCTGCTCTTCCTCCCTTCTATCTCGCTGGCCACCTTCTCGTTCCGGTAACTTCCTCAACCCAGAAGGCGCAAAAGCATCGTCGAATTCTCTCTCTTCTCGCGATGTTTGGCTTTGAGTGTCAAAATTCCCATCTGTTTGAATGTTTCGACGGATATCTCGAAGAGGAGCAGCGCTGGCAGTATCTTGGTCCTCGGCAGGTCTCTTAGGTTTCTTCTTGTTTACTGGACTCATAAAAGGGCTCGTCAGTCCAGAAGGTCTGAGTTTCTCTTGGTCGCCTAGTTGATACAGGAAGTAAAGCACTGCCCATTTTTGTGTAATGACCGGTATGGAGAGGAGCCGGCTATATAGGGTTGTAAATCGTAAAGCTTCATTAGGACTTGGGTTTGTTTGTATTAATCGTTTCTTTATCAAATCCGAAGCTTGATTTACATCTGCGACAACAGCAGTTGCTTTTGAGCTATATAAATTGCAAAATCAGCATTCCATAATACTGCGCACAGTTTCCAAAGTCAATACCTACCTTCCCAGAATTTCCCGTACAAAGTCGGTAGCATTGCTTTCTCTTTCTTCCGCGTCCGCAGGATCTTCTCCAGGAATATCTACTTGAAATCGGCGCACTAAGCTATCAATAGCAGTGGAGATACGAGTACTTCGTGAGGACATAATTGCATCGTTGCGATAATTGAATATCTGCGACTTTATCTTAATCGTCAGAAAAACATATATTCGTTAACCTTCATGAGAATTGATCAAAAGAGTGGACGCGTTGATAAGGATTATACGCGATGATTTATTTACTTCAATTTTGAGGGGTTTGGCTTGGTTTAGTGACAGTACAAGGGAGGAAGGCTCGTAGGTTACCCTAGAACTCCAGATTTCTTACATAAGGCTACAAGGCCAACTGACTCTCCCAACGTCACCTCTATGTTATGCCCCAAGTCGACCATCATTCAATCATCAACCACGCTATCAAATCAACAGTTTTTATTTTGGATTTGTGTGATCAAATTCTTCTGCTACTGCTCTATTTATGGGCGATAGAAAATTGAAGGTTTTCGCGCCTTGAGAGCGTGGTCGCGCGAGCCTGAATCGCTCCTATAGTCATCATGCCCGACATTGATCCAGCGGCCTTGAGTCGCTCCAGTGTGACAAACAAGAGTCCAACTCCTGTTCTACCTAACAAGTCACTTACTGCGACAACACCGGTACAAAAATCTGCAAAATTTAATCATGTCCCGCCGCGCATCGACCTTGAACCGTTGTATACGGCAGTCAAGTCTGCCATTGGCGAGAATTTTGGGATATACAAAGATTCAATTGGCTTATTCCTCATGGGTATGTGTTGAAAGGTATCGTCTCTTATGAGGGGCGATAATTACGCGCGTTGGCATTATGTTAATCCTTTGTTTCAGGGCAAATGAACCAAATTGAACTTTCGTCCCGAATAGATCATTTTCTTATAACAAATACCGGCGAAATCGAGCATCTTCACAATCAACTGATATCTGCCATTTATGCGAACACAACTCGTGAAATGCCTGACCAGGGCGTGGCAAGCTGGGTCAGTGCAAATGATAAACCTACAACAGGAGCTGGGAGCAAGCCGGTTAGCGGTGATGCAGCGGAACAAAGACTTAAGACAGAAGTTATGCAATTACCTAGTCGTGATAGAAGAAGATTGAAGGATCTTGCTCAAAATGATGTGAGATTTATTTTGCTTATATGGAGTTATTATGAAACTGTGCTAAATGGATTTGTAGTTCGATCCGTTCGATGCATTTGCGACAATGCTAACCGAGCATCGCCGACCGAAGCCTGCACGACAGCCCGAGATTGTACCTGCTAGTGCTGGGGGTCTGAATAAAACTAGTAAGTTATGCATAATCACCGAACCTGGTAAATTTGATAGTACTTACATGTTATTCAAGATTGGGATCTGGAAATTCGAAAAAGATATGCTTTACCTCTAGCCTCGGAATCAGGAGAGTTTCCTGACATGACAACTATCGAATCTCGAATGCTTCCTATATGCTACGAAACAGGATTAGTCAATGGCCATGTCCAAGATGCAGCTCAATTTATGTCTGTGGCAACAGAAACCTTTATTAAAGAGGTCTTATCATCGATATTCAGCAAAACGAGAAGTAATGGACCTGGGTCTACGGGTAGTGCTGGAACAGGCGGGGGTTCCTCCTGGGTGCAAACGCATAAGTATCGCAGGCAGCTAGAAAGAGAGGAAGAGTCCTCGTTGCGCAACGAAGTCCTTCGAGACAAAAACGGCTTATTACCCACCGAGGCCCGCGCAGCAAGTGAACGAGGCCCCCTAGGTATGGCTGATGTACGAACCGCACTTGAAATTTCCGATTGTGGTTTAGGACAAATGCCAGTCGTTGTACAGCAAATTATGTTCGGATACCAAGAAGGCGAGCTAGAAGATTGGAACGCATTCACACGGCTTGGGCCTCAAGGAAGAATCCTTACTGAGGATGAAGATGGCGACATCGAGATGGGTGGTCTCGAGGTCAACGGATTAACTAATGGCGTCAACGGGCACGCGATAGACGAACCGCTGAGTGATATCGAAGATTGGGGATGGGAAGGGGCCGAATATCAAGATCGAGCTGCATTGGATATGGTACTAGATTCATGTCTAGCAATTGGAGCTTAATGCGTAATGTTACCTGCGGCTGGGTATGGAGTTTGCATTGGGGGTTTCAAAGGCGTTATTAACTCACTTGGTGGCAGTGGTGTAGCATTGGCGCAACGGATATTGGGTGTGTTTATGTACCAGAATACTGTATAAAATGATCATAAAAGGGTAGAGACGAAGGGCGCTTTGGGCACGGTTGGGTATAGGGGAACTCTGTACACGATGATACCCATGAACTGGCCAGATAGGCCACTTATTCATAGTACTTGAATGAAGAAAAGCGCTAAACGATAGAGTGTAAAAATTCATTTATACTACAGCAAATAATCTCATTTATCGTTATCAATCATGCTAAGAATAATCCCTTCATGTCGTTTGTAGAATATTGTTTCAGATTTGGCTTCGGCTAATTGCGCCAAGGCTTTGACCAGTCTTTATCAACCTTGAAAGCTTGAGACATTGATGCCGAATACTTTGATTGACAATAATCAATCTAGATACAATTTTATTTTTTCGATGGATGACGCTACACATTATGATTCTATTTCAACGATCGAGTCTCATATAAACCACTTTTTAACATCACGCCAACCACCCAAAACTTTCTGTCCTTCTGAAGTCGCTCGAGCACTTACTCATCCGGAGCTTCAATCATTGGGCTATTCTAGCTGGCGCGAAGCCATGCCGGATATTCGATCTATTCTGTCCACGATGCGAGAGAATAACGACGTTGAAATCTTGCAGAAAGGCGTTGTGCTTGAAGGAGATCTTGGAGCCGGATTAACAAATGTGGTTGGACCTATCAGGGTACGAAAGCCTCTGGCCTGATTTGCATCTATTTTCCAGGGCAGACATTATGCAATTAGCACCTGGAAGTTTGTGATCACGTCCAGTAATCTTCACTCAAAATCATCAAAATCTTCAGCTGTTTATTGGAACGATGTGTCGTGCTGGGAAATCGTACTGTGCAAGCCCATCAATAACCTTGGCAGTCTACGGATACTTTTTTTTCTTTCTGTCAAGCCATATCAAGCATTCACCTCTTTCTCCCTTTGAGTTGAGGCAAAGCGCTTTTACTCCTCGTCTCATCTTTCAACTTTATCATGGGCTGATTTTAACACCGTGAATTGTCCTTGGCTCGTTCTACTCTACTTTTGTCGCAACGGCCATGCTGTAACATTTCAATCTTCCTATTTTGGGCTGCCATCCGGTATTGAACCATTTCATATCAAACTTCTGGGTCGCTTGTGGGAAGAAATGCAGAATTTTATTGTCTAAGGGGTTAAAAAATGTCGAGGCAGATCTTTTGATGAACAGGATAACTTGAGCAAGGAGGTGGCATTCGGGGGACTTGTTGGAGAGTTTGTTGCTTAGGGCAACTACTATCTTGGTTTGAAGAAGTTTATCGATCAGGCCATGGGGGGTTCCATTGGAAGAAAATTCCCCGTCTCTTTTGAATATCACATCATGATGAAAGCTCTTATCTCGCCATTCTATCGTTGATTGACTTTATAGCGAATGGCATAAACTCTCAACTATTACCCTTGAGTATACTTAAATAGTGTTGATATCTCAATGGAAAATCTTTAAATTTTATAGCACTCTTCTCATTCTTTGGCACTTGAATGAATGAACATCCACGTAGCCAACAAATCATTCGAGACTTTGCATACAGGAACCTTCGCCTTGATGTATTCAGCTCAAATATCAGCCATCATTCGTCTTCGTACGATCCGTCAATAATGGCCCCTGAATAGCTTTTGGCCCGTGTGGCTGCATATCCTGAATCTTGCAGTTCATGAATCCTAGTGACTCCAACCTTGAGCTGTCCCACATTACATAACCCCACGACCTTAAACAATCTCTTCTATCGCGACGGGAAACATAAGTCTCTCCATCTAAGGCGGGATCCCATTGTTGAATAGACCAAAACCATGCCTGATTTGGTCTCTCATTTCCTGTAGGTTGTGACTCTAGTACAGTTTCTCGAAACTCTATATCCTGCATGATTCGCATGTCACGCGAGTGAAAGAATCCGTCCAAGGTATCCGAGAGGAAGTCGACGGGGGAGCGAAAACCCCCATACTCGGCAGCCTCTTCTAACAGAAGGACTTGATTATATTCCGAGTTTTCGTTCATCACCTCGTGGAGGAATTCGAAGCCAAAACTCAACAATTTTTCGGTCATCTCTCGGTATTGACTGTAAGCTGAGTTTATTTAATTAGCTTTCGAATTTCTCATGGAAAACGAGACTTACTCTTATCTTTGGTCCTTGCAGCAGCCTTCTCCATACTATCATTTGGATCTAGGTCGTGGTATTCTTGCCAGACAAACAGCTTACGAAGTTCGGTCGAACTTTCTCTAAATATCGTATTGTATTGCCTGTAGAAGAAATCACGCATGCACTTAATTTCCTCTACCTCCCAAAGCTCAAATCTAGAGAAGAAGAGGTTGTTGAGTGCTTCAAGGGGAGACGACCAGCTTGGACGATAAGAAGGACGGCATTCTCTTTCAGAGAAAAGTATACTGAATGTTTCCATTCTCAAAATGCTACGCTGAACTCTACACATCTCAGCCTGAGTAGGTAAAGGCGGATTCATTTTGTCTCGAGTAAGCGGATGATGTGATAGCGTCGATCGAAAAAAAGCCATAGATACATCGCGGAGAGCAGGCAGAAATCTCGATATATAGATAGTTTCGGTCAGAGTAATATTGAGAGGAAACGAATCATCGATGCCTTTGTCATAGTCTGCAAGGAGCTGCTTCACGTCATTGAACCATGTCGACCCACGCTCTATACTTGTGGCGCGCGCTACAAACCGTGCTTCGTGGAGGATGTCCGGCGGAATTTCTGTTGACAGGACAGTCAAGAATATATCCTCACGTCGGTTTACATAGGCACCATGGAAAAGTGGGGATGAATGTGCGAGACATTCAAGGGTGGCAATGTCAGGAGCGGCGCAGAGAATAAGTTCCTTCAACTCTTGTGGTAGATCATCGAGCTTTGCCATATTTTAACTCACTTTTTGTTATGCACGAGTTGATAGATGGCAGTCGCTGTGAAAGAGGGTGTCGCTGATGTAAATATATCACAGATAAGTAATGGGCTCACTGTGCACTTGTGACCTGGCCTCGTGTGATCCATTACGTTTGTCACAAGCCTATCTTTTCTTGACAATTATGACTCAATCAATGTACTACAGTGACTTGACTCGATTTCTCAAATAAAATATAGAGTTTATATGAAATATGAGTCCGTTATCAAAGGCAACTACTTCCAAAATATTTGCTTATATCCACGCAGGTCTCCTAATTCTAAAGCTATCAATACAAAATGCGTTGGATATAATACCTGTGTCCAATCAATAACATTGACGTCTTGGTGTTGAGGCTGATTCCACAGCCATATTTATCCTTGCATTCTGTTATCTTGCACGATCAAAACCTCGATATTGCGTCTTCGTTTGATGGTAAGGACTTGGATTGCCGTCATTCAACTGGTCTTGAGTGGATGACATGGATTTATGTACCTTCAAGATTTTTGTTTTTCGGTTCACTGTTTGTTCATCGTCTAGGTATACTTTTCCGTCCATACACCATGATTTCAGGTCTTAAAACAACACCTTCGTGATCAACACTATTGAATGTTTACGCGATGTATTCAGGACACTAACATGGAGTGCTATGTGTATTATTCAGCAAGTATATGGAGTGGAAGGAAAAAGACTAATGCACCGAAGTAAACCTTTTTGAGGGCATTCCTTTTGGCAGCCTAGAGGATTGTTTTAGAAAGTGGCAGAAATTCATGGTTTCCCGATGGAACAAATTTATACAGAACTGAATATTGGGACTTAAAATGGGAACATGGAAACACTAATCCAGGCGTACAATACTGCATATCTCTCAAAAAAAGGAGACCAGGGGAGATGTGATCAGAACCAGACTTTTAGAGAATTCGTCCATATGTTGCGGCAACCACTAAAACTGCTATTGATTCTTGTATCTCCAGATGGAGGAAGATGAAATATGAGAAAGAGGAAATCTTTGTTGTGAGAAATGGGGTTGCAGTGTCTTATTTGAGGATGAGAAAGGGGAATCTTGGAGTTGTTACGGGCACGTCGAATGCTTTGCTGGCGAGAATGGTTGATGTTCAAGAAAGAGCATCGAAGTTCATTGTGCTCAAGCCTCAAGCACCTCGCTATCTGGAATACACAAGAGATTAAAGCGAATCGCAAATACCAAATAACAATATGGAAACCAGAAGACTTGAACCTCAGTTTTATGCCGTAGCATTCCTAACTTTAGGAACTTGGGCGCTGTATCGTTGTCCTCGCTACAGTACAAGTCCTTCATTTTGTTCAAGTACTCGAGCAAATGATTATTACGTAAGAATTATCTTCAACACAGCGGCATTACCGGAATGTCCCGATGCCGATAGTTCCCGCCAAGACGATTTTTATGGCGGGTGAAACTTTTGGAGTCCATAGTTTTTTGACTTGCTATGATATCCACCCTCCGTGCCCACTACTGACTCTTAGCAACTCTTGACTGCAATTGATTTAAGTACGGGTGTCCCCAAGATTTCAATTGAGTGAAATTGAACGAATTTGCAATTTTGTAAGATTTTGTAGTTTTTTTGAACAGTCACAATGCTCCGGACATCCACACTTCGAGCTCCGTTGCCTCGGGCAATAGCTCGCACATTCACCACCTCCACCTGCCCCGCGAATGCCGTCAACATCACGAGCAAATCTGCCACTCGGGTCCTCAATTGTTCTCCTTCATCATATAAGTTTAAGAGCTTGCAATCTTCGTTTCCTCGACTGCAAAGAAATTTCCACGCAACTGCATACAATATGTCACAAACAAGAACCGAATCCGATGCCTTTGGAAACGTCGAGGTCCCCTCGGACAAATATTGGGGAGCGCAGACTGAGCGTTCGTTGGAGAACTTCAAGATAAACCAGCCTCAAGATCGCATGCCTCCTCCAATTATCAAGGCTTTTGGTATTTTGAAGGGTGCGGCTGCAACTGTCAACATGAAATTTGGTCTAGGTACGCCTACATGAAAAGAGAGACACGTTAGGACAGAGCTGACGAAATTTCGACAGACCCAAAGCTCGGAAAGGCTATTCAAGAAGCTGCCAAGGAAGTCACGGATCTTAAGTTGCTCGATCATTTCCCTCTTGTCGTCTGGCAAACCGGCTCTGGAACACAGTCAAATATGAATGCTAATGAGGTTATCTCGAACCGGGCTATTGAGATTTTGGGCGGAACCATGGGAAGCAAGAAACCAGTTCACCCTAACGATCACGTTAACATGTCAGCTTCTTCAAACGATACTTTCCCTACTGTTATGCACATTGCTGCAGTCCTCGAGATCGAGAATGAGCTTCTTCCTGCGACTAAGTCATTACGAGATGCTCTCCAAGCTAAAGTGGATGAATTTGAGGCAAAGAATATTATCAAGATTGGACGAACTCATTTGCAGGATGCAACTCCGCTTACCCTCGCTCAGGAGTTTTCCGGATATGTCGCACAACTTGATTATGGTATCGAGCGTGTCGAATCATCCCTACCCCACCTTAGACTCTTAGCGCAAGGAGGAACTGCTGTAGGTACTGGTATCAACACTTTTAAGGGATTCGCAGAAGCTATCGCAGAAGAAGTTACTAAGATGACCGGAACGCAATTCACCACTGCACCCAACAAATTCGAAGCTCTTGCAGCTCATGATGCAATTGTTCAAGCTTCTGGATCCCTCACCACCCTCGCCTCATCCCTCTTCAAGATTGCCCAAGATATCCGATATCTTGGATCCGGTCCTCGATGTGGCCTCGGCGAGCTTGCCCTTCCAGAAAACGAGCCTGGAAGTTCGATCATGCCTGGTAAAGTCAACCCAACCCAATGCGAAGCCATTACTATGGTTTGCGCCCAGGTCATTGGAAACGGTACTGCTACAACCATTGGTGGTATGAACGGCCAGTTTGAGTTGAACGTTTTCAAGCCATTGGTTATTAGAAATTTGTTGCACAGCATTAGAATCTTGAGTGACGGAATGAGAAGCTTTGAGAAGAATTTAGTGGTTGGACTACAAGCCAATGAGGAGAAGATTCAAAGTATCTTGAAAGAATCGTGCGTATACCGATTTCACTTATTAATTCCATCTCCCCCTTCGTTCAAACCTGAAAATAACAAGTATTAACAAAATTCTCAATAGTCTCATGTTAGTCACATGTCTGAACCCAAAGATTGGTTACGATATGGCCAGCAAAGTGGCCAAGAATGCCCACAAGAAGGGATTGACCTTGAAGGAATCAGCCATGGAGTTGAAGGCTTTGAGTGAAGAGGATTTCGATAAGTTGGTTAGACCGGAGTTGATGGTTGGACCAGAGGATTACAAGAAATAAGCAACAAAAAGAGAAAATAGTTGCAAGGACAGTGATGAAGAATGCATTGATACCATACATGAGCTATATTGATGGTTAGCGTCATTGTTATTTGTATGTAGCGATGTACTCATAAATGGGCTGGAGCGGATTGAGCAATTTGCAGCATTAGCATTGCCGTGCGTATATATATAAATGTAGATATACACATAGGTTTGTTTGAGGAAGTTGTAAAACAGGAGAAAGACGATGATTAAATTAAATATGATTATATCCCCTTACCGACAACCTCTCAAGACATGAACTTGCAGGTCAATTCGTATAGGCTTGTCAATTGGTATAAAGCAAATAGTATTATCAATTAATAATTCGTAGTAGGTGACATTTATTTAGGAAACTTCTCTCCTTTTTCCTTCATTTCCATGATCCCTCCCTACGAGTACCTCGAGGAGTACCAAATACATAATTGCCCCGCCGGATTTTCGGATAAATTCGCCCTATTCAGTTTTAGGAGTTCCGGAAGGAAGTATGCCACTATCACTCGAGTGTGCCTTACTAAGCATGGTACGTTACGTTTCACAGCTTCTATCCTTATCCATATCGGTATCCATAGCTGTGATAGCTCGGCAGTCTTTCTACAGTATCCATTCTCGAGCTATTGTTTCAATTCTTCTTATGTTTTGCACCAAACAGATTACAATCGAGTTTTGGAATGGGAGTCCACTTCTTTGGAGGATTCTCTACAAAGTTGCCACCGCAAATCTCTGCCTAGGTACAGAGCGGTCAAAGTATGTTGTTTATGGATGATACCACTAATTATGATGGATTGGTGATTGACCAGGAAAATGACAACCAATAACATTCATCTAAATAGCATCAAGCTTACCTGCAAACAGCTGTTGCCATAAGGATGGAAGCTTCCAAGCCATAGATCTTATGATTATTTACAGGTTTACATCTTCTACAATCCTTCCTCATCCATTTTCGGTCATAAACTCCACCAAAACATCGACTTCACGTGCATATACGCATATAAAGGGGCTCCCGGTCTAGATGAAGCAATAATAGAAACCGCGCGGTATGGGTGATAATAGGTATGGTTTAGACCCTGATCTTCTCACGGTGGGTCTTCGTAGAGAATCAAGGGTATTTGCGATTTTCAGAATACTAGGTAGGTGAATCTGCTAGTTCAATCGCAAAATTATGGTCCCAAAGAGATCCCTTTTAATACAAATATTCATTCATATCCTTCTATCCCAAATAATTTTGGTTAACAACCAATTCTCTACAACATCATGGATCTCCAAGCCATGAATCCCAACTTAACTCAACCCGATAGAAGAGTGCTTGAGTTACTACTAAAAGATGTGCAAAAAAGTAACAAAGCCAATCCCTCGGACACTCCTGCAAGTCAAGAAAGCCAAGCTCAAATCGACGAGCAAATCTCGATTTTAGAAGCACTCAACGATGAGAGCAACGAAAAATTTCAACCTACAGTATTTACAAGTTGGGATCAAGAAGATCTTGAACGCCTCCCTCGTCCTTTATACCAATACATACTTGAGCCATACGTACAATGGGCGAAAGGAGTAGTACGTCGACCAACAGATGTTGTCTTCCTCACACATATCATCCTTTACCTCTGCACGTCGGTCCCGAGCGCTATAATTTTATACAACAGGTTCTCATTGATACATGGCTTCTGCCATTGGATCATGCAGGCACTTTACTGCGGACCTTTCACCCTTATGCTTCACAACCATATTCATAACAACGGAGTTTTGGTAAAGAAATACGCATGGCTCGACCAAACGTTTCCATACCTCCTTGAACCCCTCATGGGTCATACATTACATTCTTATTACTACCACCATATCAAATGTCATCATGTTGAGGGCAATGGACCAGACGATATTTCTTCGACTTTGCGGTATCAACGGGATGATATAATTGATTTTCTGAAGTACTGGGGTCGCTTTATGTTCTTCATCTGGCTTGAGCTTCCATTGTACTTTTTCCGGACTAATAAAATAAGATTAGCGTGCGAGGTGCTTTTCTGGGAGATTGGCTCATACGTAGGCATGTATGTGATGGCTAGATTGAACTTCTGGCCAACCCTCTTTGTATTGTTGATACCCTTCATGCAAATGCGAATTGGATTGATGGTAGGGAACTGGGGTCAGCATGCACTGGTTGATGAAATTGATCCCGATTCGGATTACAGATCATCCATTGTTCTGATTGATGTGGCGGTAAGAGACCATTTCTTGAATTCATGGACTGTTCAGATTCATAGCTAATTTCTTGTTTTGCAGAGCAACCGAAACTGCTTCAACGACGGTTGGCATACGGCCCATCATCTCAATCCACTTCGACATTGGCGCGATCAACCACTCAGTTACCTGAAAGGAAAACAAAAGTACGATTCTGGCAAAGCTCTCGTCTTCCAAAATATCGATTACATTATGATGTTCATCAAACTGATGCAGAAGGATTATGAACATCTTGCTGGATGTCTCGTTCCGACAGGGGAAAATATTGGGAAGAGCAAAGAGGAGCTGGCAGCTATGCTGAGGACGAAGACCCGCAAGTTTACGGAGGAGGATATTCAAAAGAAATTCCGAATTAAAAAGGCTTCCTAGAGTTTCCCTGGAACAACAGGTCTACTATCCAAGAGCACTATAGATCATAGGGGTGATTATCTGTGCCTGTGACCAAGCCGGCAATTCCTGGGAAATCCGTTCTCTCTTGAAGTCCACGGCCACGGTCAGTCGCAGCAGGAATGAATGGAAGAGTCATAACAGCCGTTCTTGATCCGCCATCTTTTCAGGGCATTCCGGTGCTTTCATATACGTACAGATCAAGCATAAACGATGTATGAAGCTACAACATCATGGTGAAACAGGCTTACATACATTACCAAAGTTAGCCATTCCGATACAACATCTAACACTAGCGTGGAGTGTCTGATATATCCTGAACATACCTCAAGTGCATATATGTGAATTATATGGAATATATCCTAACATCGGAGGAGAGTAAATTGTAGATTGGCTAGCATGGTATAATAATATAATGTTGAATTTATTTTGATTTTTACCACTCTTTTTCCTGGTTCGATGGGTTAGCAAATACACATTGACTCCAGTGCTTCAATACAAAAGTTTGACGGTGCAATCTGATAGCGGACATAAATCAGAAGGTCCGTTTCCGATCGAGGATTACAGGACATATGGCTTGAAGGGCTGTCTGCATGAACAATGTAGCTAATTCCCTTATATTACACAAAATCATATTCAGCCATCTGCCCCTAAAATCTCAAATCAAAGTCTCTACTAGCTACTCTCACGGGTAAAAATCCATATTATTGAACCCGCCTGTGTTGACGACTAATATCTTAGTCGTTGTGTCTCCTTTCAAAGCAGGTGCTTGGTCCCACAATCTCGTCAGTCCATCCCTTCTACTTCCTGGATTGACATATGTCTCCCAGTAATCCTCCTCGAGCTCCACCGTACGTGCATATGCAATGGTTTGAGAAAATGTCGACATCCATACCCCGAGAAAAAGTGCTGCCTCAACCAACACAGCATAGTCAATGATAGCTATGATGTCGAATTCCATCTCTTCTAACGTCAACGACGGATCGGTGAGAGATGATGCCAAATTCCACTTGTCATACACCCGATACCCGAGTGCCGAAAGGGGCTCACGAAACGCTGAGATGGCTGCCTCATCCCCGCAGCTCATATATATGGTCTTAATACCCTCGGTAGCCCCTTGGGCAGTAGATGCAAGCTCGATTTCCTGTGTGAAAAAATTTATTTGATCTTCCCGTGAACCAAAACTTTGGGGCCAATCGCTTTCACCCCGGAAGTGAATTCCGATATATCCATCACGTAATTCGGGACTATATCGAAGCCTCGATCCGAGATCGAGTAACTTCCGATTGTATCTTAGGGTACGGAAGAGCTCTTTTTGCAGGGCTTGTTCCGAGTCATATGTATAATTATATGCATATATTGTATCGCCAAAGCCACTTGCAACTGGATTGTCGGCTGAAATGGATGAGAGGGAAAGAGATTCCAAATGCTCATTTACTATTGCTTTGAACGTGCCGATGTGGTGACTGGCATCTCCGTGTTCTCTCTTCTCCATCTGTATAATTCTATCCTCGTCTATTCCAGAAACATCCCCACATTGTCGTATTTCTAGCTCTGGGCAAGCAGATCCCATCTCCTGGAGAAGAAATTCGATATTCCAATATACGTCTGGACATAGAGTATTATCAGTGGTATCGCCGTATTCAACGAGGTTCTCAGCGTTGCGATGCGATTGCACTGTGGGAAGGATGATTCCGGAACCGAGGTCTAAGGCCAACCGAAGACAGGTTTGTATACGATTACGGGCATTGTTTAGACCACCGCAGATGGACGTAGAGTTAGGACCACACGAAGAGTGACACTGGAGGTAGAGTCCAGGTTGAAATACGGTGGTTTCGCAGAGGGAACGGAGAGCGAGGAGCTCAGATTCGCCGTTCACTTCTTCCACTTCTTTATTGTTCGTATCCGCATGATTGATGTCTTCCTCCTCGATCATTTCAACCTCCATTTCTTCCTCCCTATTCGAATTTTCCTCCGCGTCTTCATCTTCTTCGTTCTCTTTTCTTTCTTGCTCCTCTTTTGCTTTTCTCTCCTGTTCTTCCTTTTCCTCCTGAATCCTTTTGTCGTCCGCTTTCTTCTCCTCACTTAATCTTTTCTTCTCCTTCTCCTCTTTCAACAATTTCTCCTCATGCGGACTGGCATCACCGGGTGCAATTCTCCCCCTTCCCATTCCAATTTCTTCCAGTCTTCCTAATTTACTCTCCTCTGATTCTTTATTTCCTGCTCCAACGCTTCCACCACCCCCACGCCAACCTACTCTTTTGACACCCCCTTCATCCTCACCACCAATCATTGACGGTGGGAACTTCACACTTCCCCTGTCCTTTCTTTCCCCACCATTGATTCCTTTGCTATCATTCAAATGTACTTTTCCCGATATCGACTTTCCATAATACATCACCCAAACAAACAACAAAAATGCAATAATGAAATTGTGGTATCTAGTCACCATGATTGCAGGGTCAAAAATGGCGATAGGTCAAGCAGGATCTCCGGAAATCAGATTTGAGATTCCTGATGAGCAGGAGAGAATCATTATAGCAGAGCATTCTAGATTATAAAACATTTTGGTATTTTCTACAAATCCAGCACGATAATTACACAATACCTGTTCCCAGAAACAAAATCATTGTGACTTGAAATCGACAAATGCGTCGAGCACAAGAGTAGTTGTTTAGAGAAAATAAAACTTCGAATGACTGCAAACACAATTTGTATGATGCATTACAAAAAGATTGAGCTTTTTGCGAGAAGGTGGTAGTTTGATGTGTGAGTATACGCTCTGTTCTCGGAAAACATCACTGGGTTGCGAAATTGACGAAAATGACGAAAACGACGAAAACTGCGAAAGATTTCAAACAGGACGAAAATTAAAGCCAAATGCGAGATAGCATATCGATTACCAAACTGATGTCTGAAAAGCATACTGAGAGAAGCTTTTGAAAGTCTCGTCTAGTTCGTGCGAAAAGGAAAGAGAGAAGAGAGAAGAAATCTGACATTTGGAAAATGTCAGTCTTTCTTATTCGAGACAATGTTCATGTGTGATTTTTCTTTTGAAAATATGATGCGCCTCAAAGGAGAAGGAGAGAGCCATCACAAGAGCTACTTATTCCTAATAACAGTAAGGAGTTTAAATCCATGTATATCATTATCATTATCATTATCATATTTACTGAAAGCCTCGCATGAAATTGTCTCAGATACACATATTTCCGAATTTGGAGAAGAAGCAAACACTGAATGCGGCATGGCGTATTTCAAGCACATCATCCCTAGTATAGGGGAAATAAATTTTGATTTATACATTTACGAATCTCAGGAACTGCTTAGATCTTTTATCTCCATTTACATACTTCGGGATAGCTATGTTGGGTAACTACAACATCAGCACGGCCAAAGAAAACTTCCTCAAGGCCAAACCTCGAAAACTGCTCTTTCCAGTCATCTATCTCACGATTTTCATCTTGTTTGTACGAACTGCAATCGAGCACTCGAGAAATGATGGAAATTCATGGAGTGTCAGCTTTGGGACCGATAACTCAACTCATGTAGCTCACCACGATCTCACACCAACACTCTCATCAGAAGATCTCGAAGCAAAGCCCCAGCCCCCTACCGCAAATCTAACAAGCAGCAACAAGGTAGCCGTGATAATCGAGACCCGACGCTCCGGCAACATCATTCCTCTCATTCTCCATTTCAGCGCCGTCCTCGGACCGACCTGGCCGCTCATCATCTACACGTCCGCGGAGAACTTCGGATCCTTCTCCACCTCAGCCGCGCTGCTCCGTCACCAGCACGCGGGCCGCATCATCGTGCGCTCGCTTGCGGCCGGCACCTGGTTCTACAACTGGGATTCCGTGTCTGCGTTTCTGACGACGCGCTGGCTGTGGGAGGATCTGGCGCCCGCCGAACACATTCTGCTGTTTCAGTCGGATAGCATGTTGTGTGCGAATGCCGCGAGGAGTGTAGATGATTTTATGGAGTATGATTTGATTGGTGCGCCTATCGAACCAAAGTTCGGGCAGGGATATAATGGCGGCTTGAGTATGAGGAGTAGGAAGACTATCTTGAGGGTGTTGGATGAGTGGAAGTATAGTGATGATCCGCATCCGGCGGAGGATCAGTGGTTTTACGCTAGGTGAATTTTGGTGGTGTTGGACTGGAGAGATGATCTTTATGGTGCTAATAAATGTGTGATGGTCTTAGGTTCAAGGATTTACAAGATCGAGAGATTGAGGAGGGTATTGAGGATGGAATTAATTTACCTAGTATGGAGATTGCAAGAACATTCGCAGTGGAGACAATTGATCATCCTCATCCTCTAGGTACTGATCCCCCTTTTCTTCTTTCGCTTTTTGTTTTCTCTATTTCTTCTCTTTTGGATATGAGAACAAGTGTAGAAACTAATACTCGAGCCAAACAGGCCTCCATCAACCTACAAGATACATTCAGCAACACATGATGAGCTTGGATGAATGGTGTCCGGAATATAAATTGGCTACTACAGATCGGATATCTTGAATTGACTTGGTGAAAGGGAACCCATAATTGTGCGACTAAATGGGACGGAATGAAATGGATGAGATATACTTCTTGACTTTTCGGGTTTAGATGAAGATAAAATTTGTGTTGTGTAGGATAGATGGATATAACTTGGAAGTCCCTTTGAGAATGGGAAGGATTCAACGAATCTGTATTTCGGCATCGTTCAAGATTCAGCCTATATGGAGGATGAGATTGATAGATAAAGAATTTTTTTTCACAAACAACTATTTCCTTCTAATGCCAGATAGGCTCATTGGCCGAGCACCAGTATTTCCCCCATTTGTGCTTCATTAAATGTCTCCTTACAAAGTAATCATTCAATCGCCATATTTGACCTCTCCAAAAGTCCAGGCGTGATTTCGTAAACTTTCCTGTTGTAAAACCTCAAGACAGTCTATACATCAAGTAACGACAATTACCTCGAATGTTAATCATACTTCGACAAGCGAAACATACCGAATTTCATCGTCACTTCCCTCTCGCTCCCTTCTTTCCGTTTAGTGCCGAGAAACGATACAAAATAAGAAGGGTTTGATATCCTATTGTTTTCTACCAACTGCACTTGTAGGATCTTGACCATTCCAATCCCACCATCCAGAAGCTAGACACAACCTACCCCGCGCAGAAAGTGCAGGAATCCGAGTCTAAAAGACGGTCGATAGTTGAAGCAAGATGGATAATACAAAGTGTGAGTATTTACATGCACACTTTTGATTGGAATATGGTTGTGAGGCGTGCTACATGGTGACTATCGATCCCAGGACTTTTGAAAATGATGAGTTTCTCCGCAATCGAGGTCAAAAAGCATTCATCCCTCTACTGAGCATCTTAACATTCCTGCAAGAAGTAGTTGCCTAGTAGCTCTTCGACAAAGACCTAGAAGGATATACATAGTCGGGCCATGATTGCCGGATGTCCTGTAAAGAGAGACTCGCGGAACTTTCCCCGACAATCTTTTTGTGAAACACAAACGAGCCCTCGATCTCATAGTCACCAAATCTTCACATTGCATCTGGTATATTCTAGTTCTTTATCGAAAGATATGTAACTTTTTGATGCCTACTTGCTCCGAACTCCTTTCTTATATGGTTGACTGAAATTCCGGAACCTCAAAGCACCCAGATTCGATGATTATGATTAAAGTCACCTCGGCTTTAAAACAGAACAGAATCTTGCTTGTTCCTATACTCGACCTGAGAAGGCTCTTCATTGTATAACCTTCAAGCGGGCGGAGAAGTCCAAGATGTTGAGAGAGAGAGAGAGAGAGATCTTAAAGTGCCATTTCTAAGACAATAAATTCCTTCTTCGATTGTTTGATATCAAAACTTATGATTTGATTGTTTCAAGTTTAATGAATGATTGTAACAACTCTCAAGATATTTGAATCGATGCAGCAGGGAATATTTACAAGTCAATTTTTGTAGTGTCCCGTCAATCCGTACACCTACTGGTGGACATCCAGACAGTGCTAAATAAGAAAAGAAATCCGTCGCGCATTCATAAAAATATCATTTTCAAACAGAAGTCAGGAATGCGATTTGAAAGAAATGATGAGAACTGTGTGGATCTGATCGATATTGGCAGCTCAGCGCTAAATTGATTGCTATTGATATAAATCATTCAGTGCTGCAATTCCTTCAAGAAGACTTTGTGAATTTGATGAGCCTGAAGATGATAAAGATCGATTCAGGATGTGATGGGGTGTAGATATATTTCTGTGGGTGTGACATTAGCTTCTTCTGCATGCCCACTTTCTTGTTATTAGGTGATGCTTGGGGTGTGAGAATAGCTCGAGGATTGAGGCGAGAATGAAGAGAAAATGGAATCGATGTCAAATAATGAAAGTTACAGGTCAGTATAATAGGAGGCAGAGATGGAATGGAAATGCAGCAAAACAAATTAATATCAATCTGTTCAATACTTTTAAAATCTGTTTAGGGAGACAGGAAGGAAGGAATACAACAACATCAATCGAACAATTTTACTTTCTTCAAGTCCATCGAAACACCGAACCATTGAACTGAGTGAGTATCTTGGAGTGAGAACAACGACTCCAGTTTGAACGCACAATGTTCACAGCCCATCCGCATCCGCACCCTAATTTTTCTTCCATACATTTGAATGATACTAGAACGACGCTTAAGTTAACTATATACAAATGACAAAACAAGAAATTCAATTGTTGAACAATTAGTAATCATTGCTTATCATCTCGTATCGGGGACAAATAGCGACAAAGTATTCCCCTCACGAGTGACTATTGATTGCACAGCCTCAGACTGCCCAGTGACACGCTACCTAGATATGTATATCAGTTCCCAGCAGTCTGGCTACGGTTAGCGTATGTGCGTGCGTTCAGACTCTTCCCATCGGCCGTCATGTACTAGAAACAAGAACACTAATAGGTAGGTTAACCCTAAAATTCACGCACCACGCGGTGCGCGCTTGTCAATTCAAATACTTTTGGGCATTTAGCTTCGACTGGGATTACCTAGATATGTTAAGTCTATCTAGCTTGAGACTTTACCACCGACTGTTCAAGTGCAGGCACTGAAATGTTGATTGATAACGACGCTAGCTCCGGAGGCGACCGTAATAAGAAGAAAAAAAGAAGATGGATACAAATCCAACCTGGTGGTTCGATGATCTAGATCTCACCACGTTGACAATGGATTTGTGAGGAAAATCCATGCACAAGTGACCAGGGGAGGCGAAGTCCCGACGCTGAATCAGAGCTGCCGATGGATCTACTGAGATCTAGACTCGGACTATCCGCACGGTGCATGCATGAAATTTAGTTTCGAAAGTGTAAATACTAAATACCAGGTAAATAGTGAGGAAAAGGGGAGCGACAGCCTACACTAGTAAGCTCGGGCTTTCTCCAGATTGTGTCTTGTTCGGGGGTTTTCTGGTGTGTTCGGCGTTTTCGTTTGACTTTAGTTGGCAACGCTATCGCGAGACTAAGTGCAAATACTCACAAGCGTGCATATAGACACCGCACAGGCAGTGCAGGGACATAGCAGAATTTCCAAGTGAAGAAAGTGGACGTGGGTGGGAAATATTGGGGTAATGACAAGTTGATGCATGCTTAATACTATATCCTTCCTAGCTAGCGGCCACGCCGAAAGCCTTCTAATGCCAAAAACAGCCATCTACCGGTTAATAGGCTTTTTGTTCCTGTGCTAGTCAATAGTATGAGTACCAGACTGGTGGATTGTTGAAGACACGAGGCAAGCTGACTGGGGGAGTCGAGGTGAAATCACATGGGTGGATGGTATGTGACATATCTAGACCGGATCGTTCCATGCTTTGCAGCAAAACGGTTCGGAGATATATCGTTTTGGGAGTCAGTATCGGTCTTGTTGATAATTCTTCGATACTTGATGAAAGCTGCTAGTTGAGCATGATGATACGATTCCGAAACTTCCGTGTTAGCATGACAGTTTGGCACGTCAAGAAGCGCTTGGATACTGACCAACAAATACACTTATTTCAAACATATGGGAATTTTCCGTTTGTCGTTCCCAGTGACCAATCAATGGCAAGAATCCCCTCTCACGTTCCGACAATCTGGTCGAAGCGGTAGTTTCCGCACTGTCTATTCCAGTCTTGTCTGGCGGTTTCGGTAGGTATTGAGGTAGCGTGGCCGAAAGGAAAACCCTTCACTATGAAGCGGCAGACAGTCCGAGCTGAGGAATGGATGCGTAGCGTGATGTGATCGATGGCATCATTGAATATTTGGAAAACGTCGAAAAATTCTTCAACCGAGTGTCTTTTCGGCATAACCAGAATAACAAGTGTTGACATCTTCCTTGCAAATTGTTAGTCTCGAGTGCTGGAATGGTTGTTTTGAGCTCACTTGCCGTATGAGCAATATCAAATTTAATTACACGAGAATAAGCAACCTGCGGCTCAATGGGCACATTGATTGCATTCCAATTCTCCCCTTCAGGTAGCTGCTAGCAGGATCACAAGTCGATCCGTTGAAAGAAATGGTTTGTCGCATCTCCCACCCTACTATTCTGGGTTCAATCACTGAACTGGTCTGGCGTAATATCATCGACAAGTTTCCGCATATTCTCTAGTAGGCATTCAAAGAATTGTGTAGCCACAAATTCGAGGCCATCCTATATGTCACAGGGCGTTTCATGAAGGGATGCATGATCATTCCACCCGTCAAACTCACGGGGCCCGTTAAGTAGCAAGCCCAGACGTGTGGACTTTGCACCTGCGCTTTCAAACCAAATTCCCAATTCTAATCAATAGTAAGGAGTGAATGAGTTGGAGTCTTGGAATCATGTCGGATGAAGATTTCAATTTTCGATTTCTCCTTGAAGCAAGTAGCATATTACACCCACCATCAGGTATACTTCACCGTTACCAGCCCATCCCACCACTGTCAGGTGTTCCGGAAGGCTTCCCACCGCTCTCTGCAAGTATACACGGTGCGGCTGACTTTTGGTGTTCCATTTGAAATATGAGACCGGCATTTTCCTTTGAATGCATGACCCATTTGGAATGTGCTACTTCATGTTGGCACAGTGTCATAGGATGGATTTCATGATTTTACAAGACACTGCTAGCGTATCTTGAACATATTGAAATAGAAGCGTAGTATGATTTCGGAAACATAGAATACAGCAACGATGAACCTTGAAGTGTCACAGTGACCATGTGCATCTGTCAGTGTCTCGTCCTTTCAGCTTTTCCCCCGCAATGAAGCTGTCAATCCAATTCATCTCATGATTTCCATCCGTACCAAGAACGTGGGTTTCTCTACATTGACATGCCAGTGAATGGTGGCTTTCCTTCTCGCTTTCGCTCCCCCTTCCTTCTTTCACGCTGAAGGCGTACAAAGGTATGCTTCAGCGAAAGAGTGTGACAGTAACATCGGGATATTGATTACATAGGTAAACTAATCACCTAATTCACAAGTTCAGAACTAGTTCAGTGGTACCAGTCCAATACTATTTGCA